AATGACATTTCCCTGTAATGTTCTTCCTATAGCAGGAAACGAAGGCGGGCGCTGACACCATGCCCTCTCTGTGTTGTTCACATACAGGGTCATAATGTCCTGTGCTGGTTCTGTATGATAACTGAAGGTATACAAATCACCAAAACCATCCCCTAAAATCCAGAGGAAACGTTTATTGTTAACCTTTTTAATATTAAAGTAGTAATAAACCCCAAATCAAACATTTATTATATTGTAGCTTACCAGTTCTCAAGGCCTGGCTCACACCCAGGGCGGACTGACAACTCATGGGGCCCCCGGGCAATAGGGGATCATGGGGCCCCTGTGTCCTTGCCTCTGAAAGGTACCAGGGGCATCTCATGAGGCCCCCTACTGACCCTGGGCCCTCGGGCAGTGCCCCTGCTCACACCTATGTATGTTGCGGTCTGCTGTGGAAAACGGCCCTGACCCTTTCCAAAAACGCATCGATGTGAACGTGTCCCATAGGAAACCATGTTAAATGGACTGTAGTGAGTTCCTGTAAAAATGCATTTAACAAAAAAATGCATAGGTGTGAACCAGGTCATGCATAGGTGTGACACTAAAAATGACGTTTCTGGTGCAAAGCATTGCTAAGTTATTAACGGATTAAATTAAGTGCTTTTTTTTTCTTCAGTTTTTAAAAACAGAAATTGTATAAATATATGTTAAATGTGTAGAAGTATTAACAAACAAAACAAAAAGTTTAAATATTCATAGTTAATAAAATAGAAACAAAAAAAGCAGGAAAATATTTATTATAGGTACTTATATAGTGCTGTCAATTTATGCAGTGCTTTCCATATATATTGTATATTCACATCAGTCCCTAACCCTCAAGGGGTGTACAGTCTAAGGTCCCTAACTCACATTCATACATACACATACTAGGGCCAATTTAGACAGGATCCGCAATTAACCTACCAGCATGTCTTTGGAGGGTGGGAGGAAACCGGAGTACCCAGAGGAAAGCCACACAGGGAGAACATGCAAGCTCCAAGCAGATGGTGCTGTGGTTGGGATCTGAGCCAATGACTCTAGTGCTGCCAGGTGGAAGTGCTAACCATTTAGCCACTGTGCTGCCCCAAAATAAGGAATTAATTAGAGCCAGGGGCGGACTGACCATTTGGAAACTCGGGCACTGCTCAAGGGCCCGGGGTCAGTAGGGGGCCCCATGAGATGCCCTTGGTACCTTTTTCATAGGCTTTTTTGAGTTTGGTCAAGGACACGGGCCCCATAATCCCCTATTGCCCAGTGGCCCCATGAGTTGTCAGTCTGCCGCTGATTAGTGTAAACTAAGGGTTAATAAGGAGTTAACTACTTCTAGTCTGGGCCAATTGTAACATTCCTCTCCTATGTGTAAAAAAACATAGTTTGCTAAAAAACCACTTAGAACCCCCAAACATTATGTATGTATAACATTTTTTTTTTTTTGGCTAAGCAGAGGCTCTAAACCCTACAGAATAAAATGGTGGGTTTTGCCATTTTTTTTTTATGTCACATGCGTTAAAATGTTTTTTGCTGTTTTTTTTTTTATTTTTTTTTTTTTACACTTTTTTTAATTTTTTTTTTTGTTTTTGAACGCTTTTATTGCTATCACAAGACATGTAAACATCTCTTGTGATAACAAGCAGTGACAGGTCCTCTCTACTAAGACTTCTGGCGTCTACTAGACCTCAGACGTCTCCCTTGCCCTTGAAAGCTTCGGATGACACTTGGATTGGTTCGATCCAAAGCTTTCCTAAGTTGGCAATAGGCAGTAAACAACAGACAGAAAGTGCAAGTGACAAAATTCCAGTTTCTAGCATTACACAGTGGGAGGAACGACATCTGTTCCAGTGTGTCTCAGGAATAGGATGCCGCCAGATGCATTCTTATTGGGCTCCCTGATCACACAGGAGAACCCGGTAAAGGCAGGAGGAGGTGGGACCTCCTTCTGCAGCTTGTAAAAGTAATCCAGTGGCTCTTTAGCCGCTCAAATTACTTTTTTGTGCATAATTGCTGGCCATAAAGAATGATATCTCGGTCATCGCTGCAGCTGAGATATTCCCATCTAAGAACATTTAGGTATGTCCTATGGACAGGAAGTGGTTAAACAGTGGAACCTTTTGAAAACAAAAAGTTTTTCTTGTCATGTTGCTTTAACTGACGTCATTTGCAGATCTATGTTCATTCCTTTGATCTGCAGATGAATGGACAGAATGGTACAAAAGTAACAATATGTTACACTATGTCTTTATGTCACTATGTATGGTTTTTGACAGTCACAGCTGCCGACACCTTCTCTGAGTATAACAACTTTTGATTAATCAGAATTGACATTTGCTATATACTGGGGGGGGGGGAGGGGGGTGGTGTCCAGAAGCATGACAGATTGACTGGACGTGCTACACACGTCCTGTGTACAATGATGAAGTTTGTTTGGGTGTGTGTAGCATGCCCAAAGTCTGCAACGAGGTAAAGCTGAAGTTTTGCATACATTGGTCCAGCTTGGCACAGTTTAAGTTTGTATACTTCATACTTAAGGGACCTCTAGGGAAGCTGACAGTCACAGAGGTATTTGGCTCTACTACAGTGATCGCCACAATATTCCGTCCAGTGCAGAACAACTGCCCTTCCACATAGTATCCACATGGGGTTGCACATTTGGCACTGCCACCATCCACAGAATGCCTTGTATTTTTTTTTCTATGAATACAAGGTGTTCTCTTGTTAAACAAGGTGATCATGACATCGCCACCCATCCTTTCCACCTTGCCCAATCAGAAAGCAGTTTGTTTTTATTTTTAAAAAATACGAGACATGAATGGTGCCAATACCGAGCAAGCAACCCCCTGTGGTTAATATAAGGAAGCCATTCGGCAGAGGACCTGGAAGATCGCTGCTATCGCAGTATTATCACTGACTACTACAGTGATCATCAGCTTCCCCACGGATCACCCGCGTATGAGCTATGCATACTTTCATTGTGCCAAGCTGGACCAATGTAACTATGCAATTAAAATCATACCTAGACTTCAGCTTTAAAGTATAGCTAAAGGTAAAATTTCTTATATTTTTTTTTTGATTTGGTTAGTGGGGAGGGTTTTGAAGCACAAGTTTTTTAACTTGAATGTGTATTTTTATTTATTTTTGTAACTTATGATTGTATTACTATCACATAGGGGACCAATAGTCCCCTATGTGATAGCATATGAGTGACAGGTTCTCTTTGTGGGGGGGGGGGGGGCAGTGTGTGCAAGGAGGGGGCAGGAGAGGAGCAGTGTATATAGTGAGGGAACAGTATATACACTCAGACTCCCTCACTGCCTGCCCCTATGTCACTGCTGGTTTTTAAATGGATTTACTGGTTATTTGTTCCCCTTCGCTATAGCTCAGAGAATAAGCTGTCATTCTAAGGGAAACTAAGGGGCGGGGTCACCCAGTGACATTACCCAGTGACCCCACCCCTTAGTTTAATTTAGCAGAGAAGAGAATGACAGTTCATTTTTGGTGCTATAGTGAAGGAGAAAAAAAGCCAGTAACTACATTTGAAAACCGGCAGTGACATTTAGCAGTATCTCACTATATATGCTGCTCCTCTCCTGCCATTCTCCGCCGTCAACCCCCCCCTTCTTTATACCCCCATATGCAGTACACACAGCCCCCTATCGGCACCCGTATCAGCTAACATTTTCCTATACGGCAAAATGCCGATAGGGCAATTTCTGGCCAATTTTTTTCAGCTACCAAAATTTCGGTGCATCTCTACTGTCTATTTTAGGCCTCATTCAGACCGGTGGATGCCTTTGACACCCCTCTTAAAAGTAATCCACAGTGGAATGATTTTCAGAGGGCAGTTTCCTAGCAGCTGGGAGGTAATATGTCATTCCCTCACCACCTAGAAATGTTGAAGCACCATGATGCAACCACGTGCTTTGCAGGGCTGTTGCGGCGTGGCCCTATTCACTTGATTGAGTTGTGCTCGCCAGCGATACTGACCACCGAACATGACAGAGGGTTTTATTTTTATTGCAGCCTTGATGCTTTGCAGACCAAGCAGGAGCCTAGGGCTCATGGATGTCTAGGGCCCCAGCTACAGTCTTCATGCTTCTGCAGTAAACTAGAATAGAACCAGTGACACATGCCACTTCACAAGGGAGGATGCACTTACTGGTGTCTGATGGAGGCGGCACTGCCAGTATAAGGAATGCAGATGTGTGTTTAGCTATCCTTATCAGTATCAATCATCAGAGGGATAGGGGGCTGAAGCTGCTGCCTTACCTAGGGTGCTGTTGTTTCTTCTGCCATCTCTGGGTAGGACCCGACAGATGGAACCATAGTGCTCAATGGAAAACTGGAAATTCAGCCGTCCAGAAGTGTGTGGGATGCAGAAAATATTGTTCTTCAGCCGAGATTGAAGATCAATGGTGGGACAGGTAAGAATCAATAGTATTTTTTTCACAGACACTTTAGCTATTGCCACTTTAGCTATATGTCTCTTTGAAGTGGTGATTGAGATATTATAGCATTACTAAGGCTACTTTCACACTGAGGAGTTTTTCAAGCGTTTTTGCATTTAAAAAAGCACCTGAAAAGCTCCAGAAAAATGCTTCCCTATGTATGTGCATGTATATCTATGTCTGTCTTCACACTGAAGCGTTACGCTTGCGTTGCGGTGTAAAAACTCCTGCTTGCGGCATCTTTGGGGCATGTTTGGGGATTTAAAAACACCCCAAAAACGTCTCTTCCCATTGAAATAAATTAAAAGCGCCTCTGAGAAGCGTTTGTGGTGAAATTCACGTCACGTGTGCTTTAAAAAAAAACGTGGTAAAAACGCCTATGCGTTTTTGTGGCGGATCAGTGTGAAAGTAGCCTTACAGTGATGACTACTTATACATTTGGTCAGTTGAAGCTTTGTGCTTAAAAAGTATCATAAGGTGTTGCAGTACTGACCTGTGTTTTCTCTGTGTCTTATATATACAGGAGAATCTACCACAGCAATGGCTGACACCCTGCCTAGTGAACATTGCTGCCTATCAGATGAAGAGGAAGACTTTATGGCCGGAGGGGACCTTGGAGAAGGCTTTGGGAGGAAACCAGGTGGCTTGTACGAGGCTATTGAGGGGACAGAAGCCAGGACCTTGAAACTGAAAAAGGGATCTGATGCTCATGGTCACTACCATCTTGTTAAGAAGGGTGATGATGTTTCTTCTATGAGATGCCCTGGTGGAAAATACACTACCTGTGAGGACAGAAGTGTTTATAGACCCTGCACAGAGGGCTATGTGCGGTGCCGGCAAAACAGCATTGGTAAGACCATCGGCATTATTGTGAGCACTATAGTTTTTTTCCTAACTGCCAGAGCTAATATAGGTACTCATTCTCACTTGCACATTTTAACATGTTTTGACTGCTAGAGGAAAGCAAAAAGTTTCCTGAACTCTGTGGGCATTGAGACAAAGTGAGAAATGGATACCCACAGACACACAAAAAAGAAAGACTTATGACTCCTTGGTGATGGCACATCTTTTCCACAAAATTTAAGGTTAAAAAATAAAATTCTGCCCTTGTTTCTGTCTACTACTCTCACCCCCCCCCCCTTTTTTTTCTTTTATATTCCCAGCTCTGTTTTTTTAACTCATTGGATTCCATGTTTGTGCATACAGGGGTAATCTCTGATAGGTAGGAGGCTACACGATCGTGAGTTTCTTATTATTTATAGCTTCTTTTATCTTCAGCCGTAAGCCACTTAAGTTTTATTTTTAGCCTTTTAAACTTCTTGCCCATATGAATATATTTTGCAGTGTGTTTGCATACAGTCTTTTCTGAAGAACTCCCATTTCTGTTCTGTGTTCATTGAGGCCAATATTCCCTCCCAGTCTAAGTCTTGGAAAGAAGCACTCATCCTTGGAAAATTAGCTCTCTTAAAGTTGAGTGTTTCATCTTTCCTGCATGTGTTTACAGCTAATATATTAGGTATATTTAGTTCTTTAGCTGTAATCAGTGTAGCAGCTTGTGATCAATTTGGGCTGCTCTGGGTTTCACTGTTTATGGGGTTGATTGCTTCCCCCTGCCTTCTGGAGGGTTCTGGAATGTAGTGGGCTGGGAGAGTCAAACCTACAGCCTGAATATTTATATGGTCCCAGCCTATTCCTGGGGGAGGGTGTCCAGTAGGTGGCAGGGAGAATGCTAAAATTTGAGGCCTAGAACAGAGGGTTTCTTGTCCAGGAGAAGTGCCCAGCCTGAAGCTTGTCCAGGAGGAGAAGTTGGCAAAGGGATTTATCTGAGTATCTGGTCTGGAGACCTCACTGGAGACATGTCTGACTGATATTAGTAGTAGGCATCCAAATATCCAAGGACATTTGTGAGTACAGACTAGTGTGTGAGATGCCAGTGACTGTATGCTGTCGTCATCCCTCTTCCAACAGTGTCAGCCTGTGCTAAAAGGTGGCCATTCTTTATGGTGTCCCTGCGTGGTTCTGTCCAATTTTTTGCTGCTGCAGGGACTGTGCTTGGAAGCTTTGAGAAAGAGACAACTGTCCCAAAGTTGCTACGTTATGTTTCTGCACCGGTATTGAATAGAGCTTTAGGCATCGCAATAAATAGAAAACAATGTGATCTATTGATTGCCAGCAAAAAGAAATCTAGAATCTTTGATGCTCCAGTCTTTTTAACATCATACAGTGTGGAATTTGCTAAAATCAGACATGCAATAGAGAGATCTACCAGTGCTGTATAATGACTCTGTGTATGCTCTCAGGTCCTTGCTAAAGGCATTAGAACAGTTTCACGAAGGGCACCTACCTTGGGAGGGTATCTATCCCCTGGTCTGTTTTCTAGTAAACCTGTTTCAGCCTCTCACTGGCTTCAATTTAGGGGCACAATTAAATGTGGAAGTAATTGCCTGCTGTGTTGTCCACATATTGGAGCTGGAGACACGTTGCATTCGATAAGTAAGGGGAAGGGATTTAAAAATACTTTTTTTTTTTTTTTTGTTACTAATTGTAACACAAGCAACTTGGTTTATGTCATCACCTGCACACTTTGTTCAGTTTAATATGTGAGTCGTACAGCCCATAGATTGAGGTAATGGCTACATGATCACCTTTATGATATTGGTAAGGAGCATTCTACAAATGTAGCAAATCATTTTAATGAATGTCTTGATGGCGATGTTTCTACATTACAGATTTAAGGAATGGAAAGGGCTGTAGTCCCTGTGAGAGGGGGAATCAGGTTTAGAATACTGTGTAAAAAAGATTTCTTTTTAGTTTGGGCACTAGGAAACCTTTTGGGGTTATATCATGAGTGGGATGTGTCACACTATTATGAATAGATTTTTTGATGGAATATACATTTTTATATATATATATTATTATTTTCTTCAAATGATGTGTCCCATATACAAGGTTAGTCTTTCTTTTTTCAAAATATTTGGTACTGTGTTTTTGATGGGTTTTAAATTTTTAGTGTCTATCTTGTTTCAATGAACACAGTAGCAGCAACCGAGTAATTGGTAGCCGCGTCTCACTTTTTAACTTAGTTTTTTTCATGAATGTTTTCAGTTAGTAATTATTTTGTTACTTTGTGTGTGTGCGTGTGTGTATATATCTGTATGTGACAGTGTATCTATGACCTATGACAAAGTGCTAGTGGAGCTTGAAATGCGTTAGCTGGAGTTCTGTATCCCTGTCATATTTGTGGAATATGCTATAGGATGAAATAAGTGATTTTACTGGATGTGCGGCCATTGGATGTTCGTATATATTGGAGTCTGCTGCGGACAGGGCCAGCATTTGGAATATAGTGCGCGTACGGTAGTGGAAATGGGAACAGACCTGGAGTGGTGATTTTTGTTTTTTTGCTACGTTACGTTACTGGAGTATCCCACAGTTACCCTACACCCCATTCAAGTTAAAATAAAGCATCAAAAAAGGATACCCCTAGACTATGTACTGAGCCAGAAGAGTGGTAGAGACTGTGTGCTTGGCTGCTAATTCACTAGCTTGGGAAAGAACCTTGGGACCACTAGTGGGCCATTTAGGGGGGTGTGAGAAAGTAGTAATATTTTCTAATTTATTTATTTTTTGTTGTTGTCAATGCACCCTTTAGAACTGTGCGCAATCCTGGGACACACCAGCCTGAGGGCTTGTTCACACCAGGTGGTGCGTCCAAGTGCGCACATTGCATCTTTTAATCTGTGAGAATATACGTGCATTTGCTGAATGCATGGGGGCGGCATTAAGAATTCATGCCATCCACACATGAATGTAAAAGGCAGCACATTTTCCTGCGGTATGGGAAAACATGCATCTGGTTTGAACACGCTCTAAAATGTAATCTGTGAGGCAGAGTTCAGTGATCTTAGGTTGTAACTTTTCTTCTCCTGAATTCCCTCTCCCAACACAACCCCCCTAATCCCCACTCCGAGCACAAACCCTGCTCCCAACCGGGTTGTTGCTGCGGCACCCCGGTTGAAAAACACTGTTCTAATATATATTTTGGGGGTGGCTTGTTTTAAAGTATATATGAAGGCACTCCTTTTCAAATGGAATAGGGAAAGGTCAAATCCTTTTGTTACGTTTTTATTGTCTTCTGTTTTTCCGCTAGGAAGATTCACTCTATTGCCACCATTGTCATGTAGACATAGTGAGGCATATTTCTAAATGGTTGAGTTATCATTATAGCCTCAAAAGATTCATTGCAGCTTGAAGGGACTATGTACATACTTCAATGCCATAGCCTGGCCAAAGTTTTACATTAATTTGAAATATCTGCCTTTATACATTGGTTTACCTGTGCACCAAGCTATATGCAGACACTCAGAACTTTTCTTTTATTCCACGCTAAATCTAAGTAGAATTTAATTCCTGATTACTGACTACATATGGATTCCTCACTAAAAGCAAAATGTAATACTGTATAAGCTCCTTTATCTCTGGAAATGTGACAGCGTGTTCAGGGACACCCCTGTTATTGTACACGCTGTACTAGTGACATAACACAGGCAACTTTAACCACTTGCCCTCCAGAGGATTTAACCCCCCCCCCCCTTCCTGACCAGGCCATTTTTTTGCGTTACGGCGCTGCATTACTTTAACTGACAATTGTGCGGTCATGAAATGAAATTTACTGTATGTCCTTTTTTTTCTCACAAATAGAGCTTTCTTTCAGTGGTATTTGATCACCTCTGCAGTTTTTATTTTTTGCACTATAAACAAAAAAAAAAGACCGACAATTTTGACAAAAAAAAACAATATTTTTTTACTTTTTTTGTTTTTAAACATGTCCAAAAACATGTCCAAAAAAAAATTTTAAAAATCAAATTTCGTCATAAATTTAGGGCAGAATGTATTCTGCTACATGTCTTTGCAAAAAAAAAAATCCCAATACGTGTAAATTAATTGGTTTTCGTAAAAGTTATAGTGTCTACAAATGGTGGTATATACAGTCAGGTCCATAAATATTGGGACATCGACACAATTCTAACATTTTTGGCTCTATACACCACCACAATGGATTTGAAATGAAATGAACAAGATGCGCTTTAACTGCAGACTGTCAGCTTTAATTTGAGTGTATTCACATAAAAATCAGGTGAACGGTGTAGGAATTGCAACAGTTTGCATATGTGCCTCCCACTTATTAAGGGACCAAAAGTAATGGGACAGAATATTAATCATAAATCAAACTTTCACTTTTTAATACTTGGTTGCAAATCCTTTGCAGTCAATTACAGTCTGAAGTCTGGAACGTATAGACATCACCAGACGTTGGGTTTCATCCCTGGTGATGCTCTGCCAGGCCTCTCCTGCAACCGTCTTCAGTTCCTGCTTGTTCTTGGGGCATTTTCCCTTCAGTTTTGTCTTCAGCAAGTGAAATACATGCTCAATCCGATTCAGGTCAGGTGATTGACTTGGCCATTGCATAACATTCCACTTCTTTCCCTTAAAAAACTCTTTGGTTGCTTTTGCAGTCTGCTTTGGGTCATTGTCCATCTGCACTGTGAAGCAGCGTCCAATGAGTTGTGAAGCATTTGGCTGAATATGAGCCGATAATATTGCCCGAAACACTTCAGAATTCATCCTGCTGCTTTTGTCAGCAGTCACATCATCAATAAATACAAGAGAACCAGTTCCATTGGCAGCCATACATGCCCACGCCATGACACTACCACCACCATGCTTCACTGATGAGGTGGTATGCTTAGGATCATGAGCAGTTCCTTTCCTTCTCCATACTCTTCTCTTCCCATCACTCTGGTACAAGTTGATGTCGGTCTCATCTGTCCATAGGATGTTGTTCCAGAACTGTGAAGGCTTTTTTAGATGTCGTTTGGCAAACTCTAATCTGGCCTTCCTGTTTTTGAGGCTCACCAATGGTTTACATCTTGTGGTGAACCCTCTGTATTCACTCTGGTGAAGTGTTCTCTTGATTGTTGACTTTGACACACATACACCTACCTCCTGGAGAGTGTTATTGATCTGGCCAACTGTTGTGAAGGATGTTTTTCTTCACCAGGGAAAGAATTCTTCAGTCATCCACCACAGTTGTTTTCCGTGGTCTTTCGGGTCTTTTGGTGTTGCTGAGCTCTCCGGTGCGTTCGTTCTTTTTAAGAATGTTCCAAACAGTTGTTTTGGGCACGCCTAATGTTTTTGCTATCTCTCTGATGGGTTTGTTTTGTTTTTTCAGCCTAATGATAGCTTGCTTCACTGATAGTGACAGCTCTTTGGATCTCATCTTGAGAGTTGACAGCAACAGATTCCAAATGCAAATAGCACACTTGAAATTAACTCTGGACCTTTTATCTGCCCATTGTAATTGGGATAATGAGGGAATAACACACCTGGCCATGGAACAGCTGAGAAGCCAATTGTCCCATTACTTTTGGTCCCTTAATAAGTGGGAGGCACATATGCAAACTGTTGTAATTCCTACACCGTTCACCTGATTTGGATGTAAATACCCTCAAATTAAAGCTGACAGTCTGCAGTTAAAGCACATCTTGTTCGTTTCATTTCAAATTCATTGTGGTGGTGTATAGAGCCAAAAATGTTAGAATTGTGTCGATGTCCCAATATTTATGGACCTGACTGTAAACTGCCATTTTATTTTTTTTTTACTAGTAATGGCAGTGATCAGCGACTTATAGCGGGATTCTGACACTGGGGGGAACAGACTTGGTGTCACTGACATCCCCAGTGACACCAATACAGTGATCAGTGCTAATAAAAAGCACTGACATTGTACTAATGACACTGAGCAGGAAGGGGTTAACACCTGGGGCAATCAAATGGTTAACTGCGCTGTGTGTGTTTTATTATGGCTCTGTGTCTGTGCTTTCAAATGTAAGCACACTGCAGAGCCATACAAAGCAGTGTGCTGGAGCCAACAGGGGAGTATCCCCCCCCCCCCCCTGTTGGTATTACTCGGCGATCATTCCTCTAAACCCTGAGCTTAAAAACTCATCTAGACTACCTAATGTGCATGGACACATAGGATAACACAAGTTGCTTCTGTCAGGAATGGACTGGCCAGCAATGGTGGGACTCACCTGCCTTATGCGCTGCAGTACCAGGGCTGGCCAGCGGGTGCTCCCAGCAATCAGAGACTCAACCTTGCAGCCAGTCAAACACCTGGAGCTGATTATACTGGTGTATTTAAGGGATGGCCAGACCTGCAGACTCTGCCTTGGTGTTGTGTTTCTCCTGGGCCCTGTATCCTGTTCCTGCATCCTGTTCCTGTCTTGTTGCTGACCCTGCCTGATCTGACCTCTGGACTTCTCCTGCTCTGACCCCGGCTCGTTCCTGACCATCCCTCTGCCTGACCCTCTGTACCACGCTGCCCGCTACCTGCTGAACCTGGCTTGTGACCCAGACCATTCTCCGCTTGCTCCCCCTGTACCTACCTGCCCGATTGATATTGACCCGGCCTGCCTGACGACGCTTGCATTGTATGTACTGTTATCTGTGGGTGGTTTGGTTTGGTTCGTTTGCACTGTGTTATGTTTTAGTATTGCACTGCGTTTATGTTTGTATTGTTAGTGTTAATAAATTATATTGTTTATAACATATCTGAAGTCTGCGTTTCCCTGCGTCAGTCACACACCTCTGGTCATACCCGGGAGCCCTGACAGCTTCTACAGGCAAGACGCTAAACTCCTCTAGTGTTATTTTAAGCCAGTGTGCATGGAGCCTGTATGCTAAAATGTACCTATGCCCTTAAAACCCCGGTTCAGCCAAAAATTCTTGTTCCATTTTGGATAGAGTAGGGCATGGGTTAGAGGTTCTGTCGGGTTTTTTATCAGTATTTGCATCTCTGTTGACAAGATTTTCCCCTTATATCCTGTGAGGACAGCAAATGATTGGAGACCTCTCCAAGTAGGTCATGGTTTAAAATTTTTCTTCATCCTCAGAGTGCAATATACAGTTTTTCGAAATAGAGGTTTAAAATGGTCATATGCTAAGGTTAGCTTTGACTACAATCACATTTATGTTTTGCTTGTGTGTAGATGCAAGCTCTGAAGTCTCCAGTGAAGAAACGAGGCAACGATTTCAAGATTTGACAGAGGTAGGTGTCATGGATACAGACCTTTATGCCACCCCTTCTATGTGTTTTGCAGATGTTCTAGTCTTTTTTTTGGTCTTTAGGGTTGGAAGTTCTATTGGGATAGCCACTAAAAAAAAAAAAAAAAAAAAAAAAAAATCTCTAAATAGCTTTTCCATCCTGATATTAGACTGTTGAGATTTTGCTTAGGTCTGGGTTTCCCATAAGTAGCCAATGACACAAAACACATTATTGAACTGAACTAAGGCAAGCCATAGATTGTACAATTTTTCTTCCTTCCACCATTTTGTTCCTACATACTGTCACCAGTCAGTGTCCCTGTTCACCTCCACACCATTCATGTGGTGGCACTGTACTGCTCTGGTGACTGAAGAAATTAATTATTTTTTCATACTATTTCCAAAAAATTACAACTTACAAAAACTCACCATGCCTCTTTCTAAATACCTTGGACTTTCTAGATTATGAAAAGGGGTCATTTTTGGGGGTATTTGTACTGTCCTTGCATTTTAGGGCCTCAACAAATCAGATAGGCCTGCAGTACATCAGGATTAAGAATTTTCACATTTATCAACCATAGATTGTATAACCTTCACAAAGACTAAATGATATACACTGATTTTGGGTTATTTTCACCAAAGAAATGTAGCAGTATACATTTTAGCCTAAATTTATGAAGAAAGATTATTTATATGCAAAATTTTATAACAAACTGTATTTTTGTTTTCCTTTTATATAGCAATAAAGTAAAAAACCCAGTGGTGAATAAATACCACCTAAAGAAAAATTATAAAAATGCATTCGGGTACAGTGTTGCATGACAGTGCTGAAAATTGGCCTGGACAGGAAGGGGGTGAAAGTGCCCGGTATTGAAGTGGTTAATAACCAGTGGATAGCTACGTATACAATGCACCCCTGTACCTCCTTCCCTAGTTCCTCTCTGCTCAGTCACTTGGGCATCATTAGTATGGGACATTACAAAGGACACTGTGGAGGGGAGTGGAGCCTGGAAAACTGGGAGGGACAGCCGGGAACAGCTCAGACTGCTCTGTGAATGTGATGGGAGGAGAGGGGACAACTAGGCCAACTTCACCACATGGAGGAGACTGAGCCAGAGTGGAGCTGGGGGTAACCACCATTGAGGTGTGTGTGTGTGGGCATTGTATGTGGAGCCATCCGCTGGCTGTCAGGGACACCAGCAGGTGCTTGCTCCTTAAGCACTTGACAACCGAGCTATAGCCAAATGATCACTACAGTATGGTTGTCCAGTTCTAGGGGGGGTCATAGAACATCTTTCCAGAATGCACGCCCCTGGTGCTGTCTGTGATTGCCGTGTCCTGTGGACACAGCTGATCACATGACAAGGTTAAAGGCCAATCACATAATCCTTTTACCACATAATCAGCTGGGTCCAATGACACAGCAGATCACAAAATAAATACAGCTGCCTGTTATCGGCAGCACATTCTTACACTGTCACAGCGTGCGGAAAGTACTGCCAATAACCAGCAAGTGTCACAGAGGACATCTGCACTGATAACACGAGGGAGGGAGCGTTCTGGGAGGACATCATATGACATCCTCCCAGAACTGGCCGGCCGCAGTGTAGCGTCATTTGGCTATCTGCAGTCGGCAAGTGGTTAATAAAGAAATATACAGTTGGATGTTATCCTGAGTGCCAGCTATTCCTGTCCTGATCTGCAGGGGTATTGGCAGCTTCCAGGTCTGAGCGCCGGGTGGAGCAGTAAATGAGGGAGGTGGCAGCATCCTTACATCTCCCCCCCCCTCCCCCCAATACTTACCCACGCCCCCAAATACTTGGCCAAAAGCAGTGGCTCTCTCGGCTCTCTCTCCACACTGGAAAGAGAGGCAGCAGAGGGAGCCATTAGTGCCTGCTGCTGTCAATCACAGCCTGCAAGAGAAGAGCGGGGGACGGGCCAAGCCAAGCTAAGTATGTCAATGGACAAACAGAACTCTGCTCGGGATCAAGCCCGCATGTGAGCCCCCATTTGGGGGCACTCAGCAGGGAGGAGGAGCTATGAGCACCAGTGGGGGAATCCAGAAGGGGAGGATTGGGGCTGCTCTGTGCAAAACAATAGGGTGTTATGCAAGTTTTACAGTACACCTTGGTCAAAGGCCCCTCCTGTCCTTCTGCTCCTTCACCATCTAATTGCAGGATATTGACAAGGTCAGACCCTTGCTCTGCGCTTTGCTCTTTGTTAAGCAATAGAGCTCTTATTGGTTTATATTGCTCACCCTCCTTCTCCCTTTTACAGTACAGTTGTACCACATTCCTATTGGAGTACTTATGCTAGTTATATGCAAAAACGCATGGAATGAATACATACCTTGACGGAAAAAGTATTTTTTTATATCTGTCTGGCATTCAGATTCAAGGGTATTTGAAAACTAGAGTTAGGAAAACACAGAGCCTCTCTGCTTTTCTGAACATTTTATCTTCTTTCTTTGAGAATGTTCTTAGTTTTGTTTAGCCTGCTAATTGATTCTGGATTTTTACCAGTATTTGCTTTTTGAGATATTGACCTGGCATTGCAAGTCCTTCTTAACCAGTTATACAAGTTCCCCAGCCTTAGGACTGTGTACTGCTTAAGTGGAGAGAGAAAATGGATAGAATAAGCAGTGCTTTGTCTGTGGAAAGCTTACATATGCTGGTGCTTTATATAATGACTACTATCTTTCAAAAGAATTGCATTTCATAATTTCACATTGTGAGGTTGAGGGACCTGAAGTGACATACCAAACAAAAATGTAGTGGTTGCTTGTTACTCCACCTAGATTAAAGCTGGTCATAGATTTTAGTAAACAGTTGGGAGTTGCAGATCGCCCAATAAACTGATGAGCATACAATTTAATGTCAATGGGGATAGGAGGGAGAAGAAAAGAGAGGATGCTGCTGGCGCCAGTCTACAGAAACATTATAGCAATCAGGATGTATTTAACCACCTCCCGCCCACCATATAGTCCAATGACGGGCGCAAGGTGGTTCTCTCGTTCTGGGAGGACGTCATATGACTTCCTCCCATTCTCACCGCGCATGCGCGGCTCAGGGAGCGCGCGGCGATCGGCGGTGCGCTGTGTCCCTCGGACACAGAGAATCACCGATCCACGGAAAGAGCCGAAGATGTCGGCTCGGTCATGTGTCCAATCACAGCTGATCACATGTAAACAGGGAAATGCCGGTTATCGGCATTTCTCTCCTCACGAGCTGTCACGCTGACAGAGGAGAGGAGAGCCGGTAATCGGCATTCCGTGGGAGGGGACATGTACACTGATCATCAGGGCACTGATCATCAGGGCACTGATAATCAGTGTGCCCTGATGATCAGTGTGGCCCCAGAAGTGCCACCTGTCAGTGTCCATCAGTGCCAGCTGTCAGTGCTGAACAGTGCTACTTGCTAGTTCCCATCAGTGCCACATCAATGCCACATATCAGTGCCTACCAGTGCACATCAATGCCACATCAGTGCCCATCTGAGCTGCCTTTCAGTGTCACCCATCAGTGCCACCTATCAGTGCCAGTCAGTGCCGCCTATCAGTGCCATATACAGTCAGGTCCATAAATATTGGGACATCGACACAATTCTAACATTTTTGGCTCTATACACCACCACAATGGATTTGAAATGAAACGAACAAGATGTGCTTTAACTGCAGATTGTCAGCTTTAATTTGAGGTTATTTACATCCAAATCAGGTGAACGGTGTAGGAATTACAACAGTTTGCATATGTGCCTCCCACTTGTTAAGGGACCAAAAGTAATGGGACAATTGGCTTCTCAGCTGTTCCATGGCCAGGTGTGTGTTATTCCCTCATTATCCCAATTACAGTGGTTTTTGGTTTGTTTAAGAAAAAATAAAAAAACCCAGAGGTTATTAAATACCACCAAAATAAAGCTCTATCTGTCACAAAAAAATGATAAAAATTTCATATGGGTACAGTGTTGCACGACCGCACAATTGTCATTCAAACTGTGACACTAGAAATTCTGAAGGACCCTCTGCACACTGGTATATACCCTTTCAAGCAAACTATGCAACAAATAGGGATATTTGGTTCACACATATTGCAATACATGTTTAAGCTGGCCAACTGCGTCAAAGTAATCCCTCTATGGCCAGTCCTACTCTGCCCTGCCTACGCAAGTGCTACTGTGGACACAATGCTAGCATAGGGGAAAAGACACAATGGGGAGAGCTACAAGGTTCAGGTCTGGCTACTGACCCAACAATACAACAAACAAGAGATCCCTGTGCTCAAATCCATACAGCTAGTGCATGCATTTATCCATCAGGTGCTGAAGGGGTGTAAACCACATTAACTCTAGAAATTCTGAAGGACCCTCTGCACACTGGTATATACCCTTACAAGCAAACTATGCAACAAATAGGGATATTTGGTTCACACATATTGCAATACATGTTTAAGCTGGCCAACTGCGTCAAAGTAATCCCTCTATGGCCAGTCCTACTCTGCCCTGCCTACGCAAGTGCTACTGTGGACACAATGCTAGCATAGGGAAAAGACACAATGGGGAGAGCTACAAGGTTCAGGTCTGGCTACTGACCCAACAATACAACAAACAAGAGATCCCTGTGCTCAAATCCATACAGCTAGTGCATGCATTTATCCATCAGGTGCTGAAGGGGTGTAACCACATTAACTCTAGAAATTCTGAAGGACCCTCTGCACACTGGTATATACCCTTCCAAGCAAACTATGCAACAAATAGGGATATTTGGTTCACACATATTGCAATACATGTTTAAGCTGGCCAACTGCGTCAAAGTAATCCCTCTATGGCCAGTCCTACTCTGCCCTGCCTACGCAAGTGCTACTGTGGACACAATGCTAGCATAGGGGAAAAGACACAATGGGGAGAGCTACAAGGTTCAGGTCTGGCTACTGACCCAACAATACAACAAACAAGAGATCCCTGTGCTCAAATCCATACAGCTAGTGCATGCATTTATCCATCAGGTGCTGAAGGGGTGTAACCACATTAACTCTAGAAATTCTGAAGGACCCTCTGCACACTGGTATTATACCCTTTCAAGCAAACTATGCAACAAATAGGGATATTTGGTTCACACATATTGCAATACATGTTTAAGCTGGCCAACTGCGTCAAAGTAATCCCTCTATGGCCAGTCCTACTCTGCCCTGCCTACGCAAGTGCTACTGTGGACACAATGCTAGCATAGGGGAAAAGACACAATGGGGAGAGCTACAAGGTTCAGGTCTGGCTACTGACCCAACAATACAACAACAAGAGATCCCTGTGCTCAAATCCATACAGCTAGTGCATGCATTTATCCATCAGGTGCTGAAGGGGTGTAACCACATTAACTCTAGAAATTCTGAAGGACCCTCTGCACACTGGTATATACCCTTTCAAGCAAACTATGCAACAAATAGGGATATTTGGTTCACACATATTGCAATACATGTTTTAAGCTGGCCAACTGCGTCAAAGTAATCCCTCTATGGCCAGTCCTACTCTGCCCTGCCTACGCAAGTGCTACTGTGGACACAATGCTAGCATAGGGGAAAAGACACAATGGGGAGAGCTACAAGGTTCAGGTCTGGCTACTGACCCAACAATACAACAAACAAGAGATCCCTGTGCTCAAATCCATACAGCTAGTGCATGCATTTATCCATCAGGTGCTGAAGGGGTGTAACCACATTAACTCTAGAAATTCTGAAGGACCCTCTGCACACTGGTATATACCCTTGTCAAACTGTGACACTGACACTGGCCAACCTGTGGTGTGTATATATAGGAACCCATATAAGCAAAAACAGCTGGAAAGGTTGATCATGATCTCAAGTCTGGGTGTACTATAGTTGTTGGATATGGGTTGCATGTTGCATTCTCAGCTTACATTCAAGTCACCAAATGAGTTGGGTTGTGCCAATTATCTACTAAAAATGGGCCTACTCTATAACATAAAAAAATGCAATTGTTATATTCAGTAACTAAATATGTTTAGTCAACGGTTGTTTCCCCAAGAAAAAAAATAACAATGTCCAGATGAAGCTGTTCGTCCATACATTGTGCTAGTTGACAAGACGTCTGTCAATTTTATGTTCTCCTTGTAGTTCAAACCTAGATTTAGTGTGGCAAAGCATTCTGATGTTTAGGGTTTGTATTAATCTGTAATATCTGGCAACAAAATAGATTGTGCTTCTATAAAGCTAAGCAAGGGTGCAACTCTAGAGTTACATTGATGTAGAAGACCTGGTACAGCCCTGCATCAATTTTCAAAACGATATTTCTATCCAACAAATTATTTTAGATACAGTGAACATAGTGACACGCATAGTTTCCCATTTTTTTTTTAGTTCTATTAGATTAGTAGGACAGCCTTTTAATATTAGGATATGAATTCCAGTGAGGGGTGGGGGTTGTAAAAATTTATTTTATTTTGGGTCTTATCGATTTAATCAGGATCTCAAAATACAGTCTTAATAAACTTGAAGTTGAGCCAGCTATATCAAACACATTTAATTTCCAGATGATTGCATTTGTTAACGTATCCATATCAAACATGTTTTATTAATTCCTCTAGGAAGTGGATCTGTTAAGAGTTGAACTTGAAGCTTCTCAAAGACAGCTAGATGGAAAGGATGAAGCACTGAGGATTCTGCAGAGCATGGTGAGTTGTATGGGATGCATCATTCCCTGTAAATGCCCAGTAGACCCTGTCAGTCAGTACAGGGAATTCTAGTTTTTCAATAGCTACAGGATATGTTTTTTTTTTTTTTTTTGTGTTTTTCATTTTGCTCTATACAGACTTGAAGCAGACTTTCAAAAAAAGTGAAGGTGATGTTTATCCTCCTCCCCACCCCCTCCCTTAACACTTTTTTGATTTTATTTTTACAGGAAGCTGGTATCCTTTTTGACAGGTACCTGCTCCCATTTCCTCTTTTCTTGCCTGGGTGAGAATTATGTCACCTGCCCTTCCTGCAGCCTTCTGGGGCATGGCACATGTCCTAGGAGGCTGCAGGACCAGTCGCCTTGCGCCGCACAATCTTGCACATATAAACAGTGGCAAGCTGGCTGTTATCTCTTTAGTGAATATAGACCAGACAGGTTTTATGCCCCAAATATCCACAGACACTAACCTTCATAGACTATTCTCTCATTTACAGATTAATCATAACAGCTCTGGAATGAGGGTGGTAGTGTCATTGGACATAGAGAAAGCTTTTGACATTTGTTAAATGGATCTCCATGATTTATAGGAACCCTAAGGCAGCTTTAAAATTGGACATTCCATCTCCACATACTTTCAAATAGGTAGAGGGACCAGGCAAGGTTGTCCCCCGCCTCCATTCCTGGTTGCACCTTATGATGGCGCAATTGATGTGCCTTGGAGGTAGGGGATATACTTTTTTTTTTTTTTTTTTTTTTTGATACGGGAAGGTTTTTGGGATCCTGGATAGGTTCACAATATGCTCAGGACTTAAGGTCAACTGGGCCAAATCCAACATTTTCCCTAAAGATGCTGAGTCTCGGGTGAAGGCTGATCCTGATCTTTCGCTGCGATGGGTTTCCAGTCTAACCTATCTTTGTTTGTGTGAATGACTGCTAAAGTTTCCAACTATTTAGCTTTAACTTCTCCCGCTACTCACCACTCTGAAACATAAAATTGAAGCATGGAAATATTTACCATTATTTTTGATAGGTAAGGTCAGTCTCTTGAAAATTAACTTTCTGAGTACTTTTTGAGAAATGCACCAGTTTGGGTTCCCTATTTGTAGTTTAAGAAAATGATTTGGGTTATTCAACTCTTTTTTTTTGTTGCCTTCGTTTCATCCTAAAATTTGGGATCTGAGCACTTCAAAAACTGTTGGGTCAAGGTGGTTTGACTTTACCCAACCCACACAAATATTATTTGGCTGGACAAATGGTTTTTGCCCGCAGATGGTTGTTGAGGAATGATGGTGATGCTGTTATGGTCTTGTAGGCTGCTCTCATGGGGGTCATACGAAGGCCTATACCTTTTGAAATGTCAGGGTCCTCAGGCAGCGTATCCCCTTACTGGTTCTGTGAGGACAACTCCTAATCTCTAGGATCAATTTAAAACTGTATTACAAAAAGCTAATGTAAGAATTCCCTCCTCCCCACTATGGTTTAACACTCGCGTATCTCAATTTGCTGAGTGACCAGATGTGATGCTTTGGGCAACCAAGTTGGTTAAGCTACTAAAGGATATCATTTCTGTGGGTAAGCTTCTGACCTTTGATGAAGAACTGAAGGCCAAATTTGAATTTCCAAACTATTTTTTTTTTTTTTTTTTTTTTTTTAGATATTTGCAACTGCAACATGCCTTTGTGTTTGGTTCTACAGCTCTGGAGACTCAGTCCTCTTGCCTTGAACAATTACTCTGTGTGGATTCTATGTTGAAACCTCTCTCAGAGGTATACAAAGAGTTACCGTATTCCGTGTGCGACCTCCTGCTCTGGATCGTGCAGGGAGTAGTTGACAGATGTTCCAGACCTTCAGGTGGAAGATTAGGATGCTATATGGGACTATCCCTTTACCTTCCTAGTGTCTGCTAGGGACCACTTGATCCATTGTAAAGTTCTCCATAGAATTTACTTTTACACCTGCAAAACTTGCCAGTATTTATACATTGGAGGAGGTAGCCCCTACCAGGGCATATAGTAACCTTGTGACCATAGTACTATTTTATTATAGCAAAGTGGTTACTTTGCATTGGAAAAAAAAGCATTGCTCCTTCCCTAACATTCTGGAAGTGGTGAACCTTTTGTGCTTTCTGTACTTTTGATTGACTGTGTTTTTTATGTATTGTGCTAAAATGTAATAATAGGAAATTTGCAAAAACAAAAAGGCGAAGCTCTTCATTAAAGAGGAAGAATCACCAGAAGGAAAAAAAAGCTTCTTAAATCCTCCAGGGCTCTCTGTGCACATATCATTTGTCCCCATTAAAAACCAACAGCAGATGTTAAATGGAATTATATTTATTCTCTGTCTTTTCTGGCTGTAACACGCTTCCCCCAAAGCCTAAAAATATGAGTATTCTCACAGAGGGAGTTACAGCCAGAGTCTTGTCCCCTCTCCATTCTTCAGCACCTTGTCTCCTCATTATTCCTGTTCAGTACAATCCAGGCCTGCAGCCTGCTAATCAGGGCACATAGAAGGTGGAATCTGTCAGTTTGTGTTGTGAACGATTGCAGCTGGATGAAAGCACTTTTGCCCAGCCACAAATATTCAAAATCAAGCCAACATTGTCCACTCACCCCATGCCATGAACAACAGGTTCCAGGTTCGGACGTTGTAAACTTAAAGAAGAGAGATGAGATGAGACAGCACAGTGATGTTCCCTTTGCCAGTTTTGTCTCGCTTCATATATGGTTACAGTTTTAAAGGAAAAATTGTGTCTTCTAGTGTTCACTTAGGCTATCTGTTTCAAATTCATTGACTATTTGACTCTGAAAACTCTACAAGCCTGGGAAAAATTACAGGACTTTAAAGTGAATCTGTATCTGATAGGCATAGTACCAGGTTCACTTTACAGAAGGGAAGCCGTATGTACATCGTCTTTGTACTCACCTGCCACCAGACTGCCAAAAAATACTCAGTACTTCAGGGCATGGGGTCACTGTCACTACACTTGGTGCCTGAGTCACCAATCTGCAGACCTGAGAGATGTCACAAGTGGATAGGGGACAGGTATGCATAGTCAGGCTTTGACTTGTTCAGCCCAGTACAAGTTCACTGTAAGAAAGATGGTGCAGGTAAAGCTTTTTCCAACTCCCAAGAAATTGGCTGGTGCTGAAACAAAAACGGAGGCCCCATGACCCACAAATAGCAAAGATGTCTCTCAAGTTCAGATTTCTGTTAAATAATAATAACCATTTGTCAGAAGATCTATAGTCAGGACCTATATAATACTCAGATTACCCCTTTACCTGTAAAACCTGGTTCAATTTTCTTGAGAAGGACCTGATAATGTAGGGTATCAGTTTTGAAGAATGCTTGACAGGGAGGGAGGCCTAGTATGGTAATTTTTTTTCTTATGATTCAAAGTCCTGACTGTCGCTATACAAAATTTAAATTTGAAATTACAATTTTTTTCAGGCTGTGTTTGATAAGGCAACTGGTCACACCAAGGAAATGCTGCAGAAAGCGGAGGAGCATCGGAGAGCCCTTGAAAAGGTAGGAGTCATGTGTTATTACATTTCATAAATGGAAGATAGCAGTCACAACCATGCCCTGCATTCTCAATCAAATTAATTAATTTGATCACCCGTAAGTCTTCCATAATGACAAAAATATTTGCATGATCTTGTCATCTGTATGAATTGATTTTACTTTCTTAAAACTTCGTGCTCTTATTTAAAATCCTATTGTACATTTGGGTTCTTTCTTCCCTTGATTTTGACACTATTTAGGTTTAATAGTGGTTGGTCACATTCAACTAGAATTGTTCTGTAATGTTAAAGACAATTCATACCTTATCCAAGCCACTTAAATTCAATGAGTGTCAGAAACTTACCCCTGCATTTAAATCCGCACAGGTAGCACAGTTACTTTGGTGCAGTCCCTCTACATTGTGTCAAGGCAGATGTTGATAGTGCAAGAACAGGATGGAAGGTGTGAAAGTTGTGACATAATCCCATCCTAGATGTCAGGAAGTCTGTACCGGTGTCAAACCTTTGATTTTCATGACTGAATGTGTTAAAGGGTAGAGATGTTAAAACTCATTGTATGTGGAAGATAGATGGTGTTAAAGGCCCTTATTTAGGGATGTTGTTCCAGTTTGACATAGATGACCTTTTTCATGCCTCTTGCAAACAGGTATGTTGTCTCTGTCCAAAATGTGCACCTTACAGTCCCCAAATAAATATTGCTTTTTCTTATGATGTAGAAAAAAAGTCTTGACCTGCAAAATGTACCCTCCTACATTGGGACATTTTGTTTGAGATTATTTATTTCAGGTACTTATATAGCGCCGTCCATTTACGCAGTGCTTTACATATATATTGTACATTCACATCAGTCCCTAACCCTCAAGGGGCGTACAATCTAAGGTCCCAATTCACATTCATACATACACATACTAGGGCCACTTTAGACAGGAGCCAATTCACCTATCAGCATGTCTTTGGAGTGTGGGAGGAAACCGGAGTACCCGGAGGAAACCCACGCGGGCACAGGGAGAACATGCAAACTCCAGGCAGGTGGTGCCATGGTTGGGATTCGAACCCACGAAAATAGAACTGCCAGGCGGAAGTGGTAACCATTTAGATTCCTTCTACCCAATGTACAAGTCTTTGCATTCCTCACTACACTACACTGCATAGACAAAGTTACTTTTGTGTTTGGTTGTTGGGTCTTTTGAAAGTTCCAGCTTTTGTCTCAGTGTATTGCTAGTCTTAAAAGACACAGGAATGTGATTTTTGTCCAAGGCCTTTTCCAACATTCCAGCTATATACGAGATGACTATTTTTAATTAAACAAATTTGGTGAGGTAACAAGGATCAAAAAATAAAATGTTTGTAGACATCGATGCAGAAGAACAAGTAGCTATTGTGTAGATATATTGGTATTGCCCTGAACTCGACACAACTGCATAAGGGACAGAGACTTCAGAGTCTGCTTCCCCAGAAGTTCTTCTCTTACCTCCCTGTAATATAGGACAACGCACAATTATTTTTCATTACACACTTGTGTGTATGGAGCCATCTGGCTTAGTTTAGCTTTCTACTCTGGTTGTTGGGAACCAGTTAGAACCTACATTAGATGCCTATTAGGTTAGGTTTCTTAAGATTGGTAATATTAATTCTAGAAAGTTCCAGGAAACTTCTGGACCATGTTGGAAAGTCCAAGAATCATAATTGTCTTAATTGTATTCATTAATTTTCTGGCTGTGAAACCTGACCTCCTGGGTGTCAGTTGGTTATACTTGTCACTGCTTAGTTTCTGTGAATGTTCTTGTAGAAATGATATGCACCTTTTGGCAAAGTGCTACTGTATACTTAATCAGGTGGTTAATTCACATACATAGATTAGTAAATGGTGGAGTATGCAAATAAAAAATAAGAATACAGTAAAAATAAAGGAACTTTATTTTATTGCATGCTAGGAAACATGCAAACTGTTGGTGCTTTATAACTTTGTAGGGCAGTGTACAGAGGTCAGTAGTATGCAGGGCAGTGTACAGAGGTCAGTAGTATGTAGGGCAGTGTACAGGGGTCAGTAGTATGTAGGGCAGTGTACAGGGGTCGGTAGTATGTAGGGCAGTGTACAGGGGTCGGTAGTATGTAGGGCAGTGTACAGGGGTCGGTAGTATGTAGGGCAGTGTACAGGGGTCGGTAGTATGTAGGGCAGTGTACAGGGGTCGGTAGTATGTAGGGCAGTGTACAGGGGTCGGGGTAGTATGTAGGGCAGTGTACAGGGTCGGTAGTATGTAGGGCAGTGTTCGGTAGTATGTAGGGCAGTGTACAGGGGTCGGTAGTATGTAGGGCAGTGTACAGGGGTCGGTAGTATGTAGGGCAGTGTACAGGGGTCGGTAGTATGTAGGGCAGTGTACAGGGGTCGGTAGTATGTAGGGCAGTGTACAGAGGTCAAGGTCGGTAGTATGTAGGGCAGTGTACAGGGGTCGGTAGTATGTAGGGCAGTGTACAGGGGTTGGTAGTATGTAGGGCAGTGTACAGGGTCGGTAGTATGTAGGGCAGTGTACAGGGGTCGGTAGTATGTAGGGCAGTGTACAGGGTTCGGTAGTATGTAGGGCAGTGTACAGGGGTCGGTGGTATGTAGGACAGTGTACAGGGGTCGGTAGTATGTAGGGCAGTGTACAGGGGTCGGTAGTATGTAGGGCAGTGTACAGAGGTCGGTAGTATGTAGGGCAGTGTACAGGGGTCGGTAGTATGTAGGGCAGTGTACAGGGGTCGGTAGTATGTAGGGCAGTGTACAGGGGTCGGTAGTATGTAGGGCAGTGTACAGGGGTCGGTAGTATGTAGGGCAGTGTACAGGGGTCGGTAGTATGTAGGGCAGTGTACAGGGGTCGGTAGTATGTAGGGCAGTGTACAGGGGTCGGTAGTATGTAGGGCAGTGTACACAGGGGTCGGTAGTATGTAGGGCAGTGTACAGGGGTCGGTAGTATGTAGGGCAGTGTACAGGGGTCGGTAGTATGTAGGGCAGTGTACAGGGGTCGGTAGTATGTAGGGCAGTGTACAGGGGTCGGTAGTATGTAGGCAGTGTACAGGGTCGGTAGTATGTAGGGCAGTGTACAGGGGTCGGTAGTATGTAGGGCAGTGTACAGGGGTCGGTAGTATGTAGGGCAGTGTACAGGGGTCGGTAGTATGTAGGGCAGTGTACAGGGGTCGGTAGTATGTAGGGCAGTATACAGGGGTCGGTAGTATGTAGGGCAGTGTACAGGGGTCGGTAGTATGTAGGGCAGTGTACAGGGGTCGGTAGTATGTAGGGCAGTGTACAGGGGTCGGTAGTATGTAGGGCAGTGTACAGGGGTCGGTAGTATGTAGGGCAGTGTACAGGGGCTGCCTCTGCAGCCTAGAATTGGCGGAGAATGCACTTACTCCGCTCTGCATCTTTGGGGGAAAGCACTTGGTCGGCAAGGCAGGGAGCTATTTGTGATCTACTGGTCACCTGCCTGCAATCGACCAGTAAACCATTGTCGATGGGTTGCCGACCCCGGTTGTAAAACAACCCATTCAACCTAAAATAGAAATGCAAGGCAAAACATTTATGTATATACAAAAAAAAAACTGGAAATATCTTTTTTTCACTTTTGTTTTTATAAGTGATCACATATTCTCTGTTCTCTGCTGCACAGGGGGCTTGGAGAGGTGGGGGTGGAGAAACAGCAGGGGGGTGTGTCAGCACAAGTTGGGAGATTCTTGGAGGACAGGCAGGCTGGGATCCCAGCACAGCCAGAAAACTGACCTGGCTGAGTTGGATGTGCTATCATGCCTAGTGTGGTCAGTTTGAAATAGGAAAGCAGGGGACTGGCAGGAACACCAGAGATTTCACATAAATCAATACAAAGAGAACATGTCACTTTTTAACACAAACCCATGGTACGACAGATACATATCAGGTATATGACATACTGTCTCTGATGGCTTTCTTGTTCAAGTGCACACCCTTCAGGGATCATACAAGGATCCATTTGTTTGATATGGAAGAAGTAATGTGATTTGCTAGTTTCTACAGCCCTGTTTGCTAGTGAATATAAGAGCTAGTTTCTGCTTAATAGTACAGGCATTATGTAGTAAAGGGCAGTTCTCTGACATGAACCTATATCATCGACTTATGAGCGAATTTTCTTTTGTAGAAAGCTATACTTTTATTCATTAACTCCCATTGCTGGCAAAGCATACCTTGCTGAGTTTGATCCATCACTTAATGTTTGCTGATAGATTAGTGATATCTAAAAATAACCGGCACTTCCCACTACTCCCTTTTAGGCAGTGAAGGAGAGATTGATCAACATGTTTCGAATCGCTGATGTGACTTCCAGGACAGGGGAATGATCATCTCAGGGTCTGATTACTTGTATTCAAATGATCAGATGTTTCATGTATAGTCAGCTGCTGTTTTAGGCTACAACACTTTGCAATACCAGCCTATACATGTGTGCAGAAAGCCTTTGCTTTACTGTGCGATATACTACTTTGAAAAAAAAGGCAACAAAGTTTAGTAGCCTTCCATCTTGCAGGATACCAACCCTGTTGCAGTCATGCCAGGAATTGAAATCACAAGATGGATGGAGGATAAAAATAGGATAACATAGGCCATGATCCCTAGCATTTGATCCCTGATCCCTATTTATGTATTTCAGGTACTTTTTTTATAGCACCATCAATTTCCACAGCACTGTACATATATATTGTACTTCCATATCAGTCCCTAACCCTCAAGGAGCGTACAATGTTAATTCCCTAACTCACATTCATACATACACATACTAGGGACAATTTAGACAGGATCCAATTCACCTACCAGCATGTCTTTGGAGTGTGGGAGGAAACCGGAGTATCCCGGAGGAAACCCACGCAGGCACAGGGAGATCATGCAAACTCCAGGCAGGTGGTGCCGTGGTTGGGATTCGAACCAACGACCCTAGTGCTGCCAGGCAGAAGTGCTAACCATTTAGCCACTGTGCTGCCCACCTATAACTTTGAGTGCTACATCTTTTTCTTTTTTACACAATTGATTGGTGTGCGCGAAGAAAAATATTATTTTAAAGTATCAAAATTACTCTCAGCTTTGGCAAACCTGGATATCCCATTTCTTGTCTTTGTGCTTTGACGAGTCACTCCTAGAACCCTGATTATTGTGGTCTTGCCCCACCATGTGCTATGTTACACGTTTACTGTATGCAGCTACTCCCCTGGGATCCCTCTCCTATATCTCCCCTACCTTCCCCTCCCTCCCAGTCCAAATTTTATTTACCTAGCACTTTGTCATTGTTGTTCTTCACAGCTGTAGTGGATGTCAGTTTTGAAATTGTTTCTAATTTTTAGGGACTCTTTAATGACTGGCATAGTACCACTGGGTTGGTGTAAGGCCAATGTGATGCCAATATTTAAAAAGGGGTCAACATCTTTGCCAAGTAATTATAGACCTGTTAGTTTAACTTCTATAGTTGGGAAGATACTGGAGAGTTTAATAAAAGACCACATAGATGAGTTCTTGCTGGAAAAAATATTTTAACCAACAGACAGCATGGATTCATGAAGACAGAAGTTGTGAAACAAATCTGATTTCTTTTTATGAAGGGGTGAGCAAAATCTTGGACAGAGGGGGTGGCGGTGGACGTGGTATACTTGGATTTTGCAAAAGCCCTTGACACAGTTTCCCACACACAGCTAATGTGTAAGGTAAAGTCTACGGGCTTGGAAAAATCCATATGTAAATGGATAGAAAAACTGGCTAAAAGATTGTATTCAGAGATTAGTAGTTAATGATTCATACTCTGAATGGTCTGGGGTCATCAGTGGTGTACCCCAGGGTTCAGTGTTGGGGCCCTTACTTTTTAATATATTTATAAACAATATAGGATCTGAGATTAAAAATCCCATTTCAGTCTTTGCAGATGACACCAAGCTGTGCAGTGGAATGATGTCCTTACAGGATGTCTTCAACTTACAAGCCGACCTCAATGCACTGTTTAATTGGGCAACTATGTGGCAAATGAGGTTTAATGTTGATAAATGTAAGGTTATGCACTTGGGGGCTAAGAATATGCATGCATCATACATACTAGGGGGGTACAACTGGGGGAATAAATGGTGGAGAAGGATCCAGGAGTTCTGGTAGATCCCAAGCTTAATAATGGCATGCAATGCCAAGCTGCAGCTTCTAAAGTGAGCAAAATCCTCTCTTGTATTAAAAGAGGTATAGACTCCAGAGAGAGATATCATATTACCCCTGTACAAATCATTAGTAAGACCTCAGCTGGAATATGCAGTTCAGTTTTGGGCACCAATTCACAAAAAGAACATTGGGGAACTGGAGAAAGTACAGAGAAGGGCAACCAAACTGATAAGAGGCATGGAGGAGATCAGATATGAGGAAAGATTAGAGGAACTAAATTTATTCTCCGTTGAGAAGAGGAGATTAAGGGGGGATATGATCAACATGTATTAATCCCAAATACATCAGTGGTTTATATAGTGAACTAGGTGTAGAGCTATTCACCCTAAGGTCATCACAGAGGACAAGGGGGAACTCTTTACGTCTGGAGGAAAAGAGATTGAATCTCAAAACACGGAAAGGTTTCTTCACAGTGAGAGCTGTGAAAATGTGGAATAGACTCCCTCAAGAGTTGGTTCTGGCCAGCTCAGTGGATTGCTTCAAAAAAGGCCTGAATTGTTTCTTAGATACACAGAATATAACTGGATACTAACATTTATAGGTAAAGTTGATCCAGGGAATATCCAATTGCCTCTCGGGAGATCCGTAAGGAATTTTTTTCCCCAGCAGGAGCAAATTGGATCATGCTTTGCTGGGTTTTTTTTTGCCTTCCTCTGAATAAACTGTGGGTATAGGATTATAACTTTTTTTTTCTCTATGGTTGAACTGGATGGACTTTTGTCTTTTTTCAGCCAGACTAACTATGTAATTACAGGTGCCCAGATGTTTCTCCATTATGTTTATATTACCTCTCTCTTGTGCATATGATTGTTGGTGCCTACTGACTGTGTCTTTAAAACTACTGATGTTATCCACATTCTTCTTTTATACTTATCATCTCTGTGCTCAAGAAAATCTTTGAAAATAAATCCTAAGATGCAGCATCTGGCACTCATGCACATAGATCTTTAGGTTTACTGTTCTTTGATAAGGATGCAATGAAGGAAACATCAGACAGATCATATAAGGTTTGATATTGGGCTTATCAACACAGAAAACACATACAATCTATTATACTATGATGTTTCACACGACCTCACTGTTTAAACATGGTGCTGACACTGTTAATCTGTACTAATGCTTGTGCCTTGTGTGCATTTGCAGGAGATAAATGTGTTACGGTGGGAAATGGAGTTTGACCAGGGGAGGCTGAAAAACCTGGAGGAGTCCTGGAAAGAGAAATATGAACGGTAGGTCTATTTATAGGGTTCAGTGATTCTGCAAGATAAATTAAAACTTCACCATCTACTTGGATCCACTTTAAAGTAGTACTATAAGCAAAACTTTTTTTTTTCTCATTTTGGATAAAGTAGGGGAGGGTTATAACCCCCGTCAGTTTATTTTTACCATTTGTTTCCCATTATGGAGATTTTCCTTCACTTCCTGTCCCATAGCCAAAACAGGAAGTGAGAGAAAACCCCTAAAAATTAATTAAGTTCCATGGGGACCTCAGGTCACCAGATCTAGCATCCTCATTGGAAGATTTCCCTTCTCTTACTTTTCTGGAGACAACCCAAAATGTTGGATTTTCTTTTTACTTTCAGTTTCATTGATATTGTTAAACAGGACAAATAGAGAGGGTGAATCTCCTTAATGGGTGTCATTGGGAGTAATAGTGCCTCATTGTTGGTATCAATGGGAGGAATAGTGCTGCATCATTTGTGTCAGTGGAAGGAATAGTGCCCCATCATTGGTCTAAGTGGGTGGAATAGTGCCCCATCATTGGTCTAAGTGGGTGGAATAGTGCTCCATCATTGGTGTAAGTGATTGGAATAGTACCCCATCATTGGTGTAAGTGGGTGGAATAATGCCCCATCATTGGTGTAAGTGGGTGGAATAATGCCCCATCATTGGTGTAAGTGGGTGGAATAGTGCCCCAATCATTGGTGTAAGTGGGTGGAATAGTGCCCCATCATTGGTGTAAGTGATTGGAATAGTGCCCCATCATTGGTGTAAGTGGGTGGAATAATGCCCCATCATTGGTGTAAGTGGGTGGAATAGTGCCCCATCATTGGTGTAAGTGGGTGGAATAGTGCCCCATCATTGTGTAAGTGGGTGGAATAGTGCCCCATCATTGGTGTAAGTGGGTGGAATAGTCCCCCATCATTGGTGTAAGTGGGTGGAATGGTGTTCCAATAGGGGGAATATTGCTTCAAGTGCTGGATAAAATCAAGCAGTTTGGAGACCACTGCTATAGAATATTCCATATAAAATTATTTTGCAAAAGAACATCAACTGATTTTGATGTCACCCTTTCAGCGTCCATTGTGAAAATACAGCTTTGAAAGAGAGCCTGGAGTTGCGGACCAATGAAGTAAAAACCCTAAAAGCTGAAAACACAAGTAAGATTCTTTTGTGATTGCTCTCCATTAACTAGTTACGTGGTATCTTTGACCTGTAATGGAAGTCATATTCATATTATTTTGCATTATGCAGCATGATGCTGCCAGAAGGTGCCTAATGCACTTCAAAATTACATTACCACAATAGTACACCATTGTCTTCATTATCCTTTATATTTGTCTTTTTCTACATACTTTTCATACAGCATGCCCAGCAAGCGCACTAATGCAGTGAATAGCTGTTCCAAACAAACTATTTAAAGGGACATTAAATGTGGAGTTTGGCTTTAATGACATTCTGATGATGACCCATCATTCTATACTGTAGGAAAAGCAGAAGTGGGAAAAGTAAAGCAAAAAAGTGGAGTTGTTGACCTTGGCAACAAGGGATATTTTCAAGTGCGAATTAAAGAATGAGATATAGGCAGCAGCCCTATTTCCTTTTGTTTGTCTTCATGAATCAACCCCGCAGTGTTAAAAGAACGTACAGGGCTCATGCTTGTTGCAATTGTACATTAATGATCATGTTTAGTAACGCAGTTTTCACAAACGTTAATCTGATGGACAGAACCCATGTTGATGGCACACCTTGTAGTTTCTATGCTCATTCTGGTGGCTGTATATTTAGGGCTCATGTACACTGCTGCTGATAAACTCATGTTCAGGAGCTTTTCTGTGTTTTTTTTTCAGCAGCCCCTGAACTCTCCCTAATGTTTTCCTATGTGTCCATGTACAAATCATCATTTACAGGCAGTTGAGTTTAGTAGTTTTTTCAAATGCAGCAAACTTGCTTCAGGAGTAGATTTTATCAGCGTTCGTGACATCGTGATTGATGTTGGATCTACTTCGGGGGACATTCTTTTATTAAAGGACTTGTCAAAGAATGACTCCTGTCTTTTCTTTCACACTACAGCTTTTTTTTGTGAATGGGTAGCTGTAGCATGTACCCATACTCATTCACGTGGGGGGGGGGGGGGCGGGGGGAAAGCCCCCCGCCTGCATGACCCCCTGGCCCATTTGAAAATTGACAAGGATCTTTGGGGGGGGGGGTCACCACCTCCTGCAATGCCTGCTGGCTGCCCCTTGGGGTCACTGAGAGGAGGTTTGGGGGGAAATCTAGCCACCGTTAGGAGAGGATTTTGGCACCAATCACCTATGGGCTTCTTATCAAGATCCATATTGCATGAATTTATATATCACATGATCCCAGCAGTCAGTTTCAATTGATTTTTAGAAAGTTTTGGACAAACCCTTGTACATGAGCACTTTTTTTTTCCACTAAAGGCACTTTTTGAATCATTCTTTATAAGCCTGATGTGATGGCTAACTGTGGTCTACTATTGCATTTATACATGGCCGTATCTTATTGTGATAGACTAGCATTTATTTGTGTTGCTGACACAGTCTTTTAGTGGCTAATAGAAGTTGGGCTTGCATTGCATTTGTTTGAGATCATTTTAGGACTGGCTTACTCTAAAAGCCTCCTCCTTCCCTATTGAATTGAAGCTCACAGCACAGTATTAAATTTTGAGCACTTCCGCCCGATATTTATTTAGGGTTGTTGGTTCGATTCCCAATTTTGGCGCCACTGCCTGGAGTTTATTTGTTTTCCCTGTGCCTGCATGGTTTCCAGTGAATTGCATTTTCCCTTCTAGAAATTTTGCCCATGCAGTACTTACCAGCTAACCTGAATCTGACTTGTTAACTTCTTTTCCATTTCTTTCTATCTCCCCTCTTCAGTTATAAGTCAGCAATGTCAGGAGCTGCTTGCAATGCTCGATGTGAAACAGCAGAAAATGTTCCAGGACAATATGTCTCTTGATAAAAGTGGTCTGGCAGAGGTAACTGCACTTGAAGTAAGTCTTCTGTTATGAATATATTTTTTTACTCACTTGTGTCTGTAGTCATGATCACAGCATTGACATCACTTTCCCATGCATATGTGAATCATTTATTTTTGGAAGCAGACATTTTATCAAGGTAGGTACAGAGTGAATCAGGATGATTTTTCAGTACAAATGTTACCATGGATTTTCAGCCAAGACTTTTTAGTTTTTGATAGAATAGTGAAGAGTTAGAAACGCTTGTCAGATTTTTATTGCTGTTTGTGCTCCTGTTAGGGAGATTTCCCCACACGTCCTATCAGGAAATACAACAGGAAGTGAGATAAAATCTCCCAAAGTGAGGGGCACCAAACTTGGTAGTTTTCACCAAAACAGGTGTCCACATTAGGAGATTTCACCTTATCCTTCCTACCTGTGATGCCTATCAAGATTTTGTTTCAATTTTGCTTGCTGTCCCAATGACATACATTGCCCATACTGGAAATGAGGGACAAAATTGCCAATAACAAAGAAACAATAATAACAACACCTACTTGACCCATGACTAGAAAAGTTGGCTGAAATTTCTCTTAAACTGCAACATTTTTTTTCCATTGAACTTGTAACTTTTTTTTTTTTTTTTTTTTTTACCTGCCCACGCTCCGATGTATACATGCTTTAACCACTTCCATACCGGGCACTTTTACCCCCTTCCTGCCCAGGCCATTTTTCAGGTTTCAGCGCTCTCACACTATGAATGACAATTGCGCGGTCATACAACATTGTACCCAAACTAAAAATTTTATCATTTTCTTCACACAACTACAGCTTTCTTTTGGTGGTATTTAATCACCGCTGGGGTTTTTATTTTTTGCTAAATTAACAAAAAAAATACCGAAACTTTTGAAAAAAAAAAACATGTTTTTCTTTGTTTCTGTTATAAAAGTTTGCAAATAAATAATTGTTCTTCATAAGTTTAGGCCAAGATGTATTCTGCTACATGTCTTTGGTGAAAATAACCCAAATTAGGATGTATTTTTTAGTTTGTAGGAAAGTTATAGAGTTATAGAGTTCACAAACTATGGTATAGATATCTGAATATTGATCAATCCTGAAGTACTGACAGCCAATCTAATTTCTTGAGGTCCAAGAATGTCAGAACAGTACAGATATCCCCCAAATTACCCCTTTTTGCAAAGTAGACAGTCCGACGTACTTCATAAGAGGAATGGCAAGTTTTTTGAAGTTGTATTTTTTTTTGTCATTTTTCGGAAGATAAAAAAAATGAAAAAAAGTATTTTCACTATTTTTTTTTTTTTTTTTTTACATACTGTCACCAGTCCAGTACAGCGTCATCATATAACTGGCATGGCGGTGATCAGGGACACTGACTGGTGACAGTATGAAAAAAAAAAAAATATATATATATATATATTTTTTTTTTTTTTATTACTTTTTTTCTTTTTTTTTTAAGATTTCTTTTTCATATTTCACTATGACCAAAGTAGTACAATGTTACCATAGTAACATTGTACTACTTTGGGGAAGTGATCAGTATTTTTTTTTACACGCAATTTGCTTATAGTAAAGAATTACTTTGCTATAAGCAAGCATTTACCTGAATGACATCGATTCATTCAGGGTTTTTTTTTTTTTTTTTTTTTTTTTTTTGTGCTTAGCTGTGATTTGGCCACAGCTAATCACATGACATGTGCATGTGATCGCTGTGACCATTCACAGCTAGACACTAGTATACAATGGATGGCATGAATGAAGCCATCCATTGTATACAACTGTCATGTGACCTGCTGTGATTGGTCACAGCAGATCACATGGTACCGGCAACGGGGGCCGGTAATCAGATCTGTCATCGGCCGTGTCCGAGGTACACGGGCGGTGACAAATCGCGCTGCTGCACGGCTTTGCAAGCGCGCAAACTGCGCATGCCCGGGAGTACGCCATATGGCATCCACCCGGAAACCTAAAGCATTTTTCCGGCCACCAAACGACTATTGGCCGGGCGGCTAATGGTTAATATTTCCCACATGTATCAGGTGTTTAGCAGTGATTTTTCACTTCTTACCTAAGATTTTGTCCACGAAGTAGAAGTCATTCACATCAAAAGCTGCTACCTGACTAAACCTGTTTCAGCCTGTCATTCACCCTTGGTTCACACTATTGCGGGCTGTGCTGCCCTTGTTTGCTTGAGCACAGCAGCCCATTCATTTGACTGGGATGTTGTGCTTGCGTTTTCCACAGAAAAAAGGTGCATGCACCTTTTTGAAAACGAGGCCGCAGGGAAACCACATGTTTTTTTTGACCATGCGGTTCCCACACCTGCAATCGTGCTGTAAGTTGAAATGGGTACGGGTGCCATTCAGAATGAATAGCAGCCTGCATGTCTTGTAAGGGGAGCGCAATTTTGGCTGCGGGTGCGGGAACAGATGGTATTTCCCACACCCGCAACCAGCCTGCAGCCTGTGGGCTAGTTGTGAACTTAGCCTAAACACAAGATCAACAATGTAATACCATGTTTTTCAAGTTACCCATCTTTAGATATGGTGGCTGCATTAATTTTTTTTCCAGCCTTTTTTTCTATAATTTCACCATGTGATTCCTTCTAGTAACACACTTCATGTCCTAGGGCAGGGGTGTCAAACTCTATTTCATTGCGGGCCATAACAGCATTATGGTTGCCCTCAAAGGGTCCGATTGTATCTGTAAGACTAGATGTCCAAAGCACCCCACCCCCCATTATACTAGATGTCAAGATTTCCACACCCTCCCTAACATCACCTTGCACCCCCTTTGGGGGCAGAGCTGGAAAACAAAGTACAGGGTCTGGAGGAGGACCAGAGAAGGAGTGGAGTCAGTTACCAGAGTCTGCTGAATGCTGAGACCAGGGGAGACAGAGATGAAGGGGTGCTGCAGCTGCACTGAGAGGTGCAGGATTTGTCAGAGGAGTTCTATTCTCTTCTCTGCTGCCGACTGCTGAGGCAAGATGGGGAGGAGACAAGGGGGTACCTGCAGGAAAGGTGCAAGGGCCACATGAAATGGCCTGGAGGGCCGGATCTGGCCCGCGGGCCTTCTGTTTGACACCTGTGTCCTAGGGTGATATTACTTATGTACTGTTCTATAAAAAAGTGTTGTCAGTCTAGGACATAGTGTAAAGCATTAAGGCTACAGAATACTTCTGGTCTTATCTCAATAACTTGGTGGGGTGGTGCTCTGTAGTCAGTGGCTAAACTGGGCAAGATTGAGAGCACAGGAACTTAATAGCCCGTTTGATAGTTATTAAACTGATATAACAAAATACATTTAACGGCATTTTCAACAGTCCAAAAGAGAGCAAGAAGTTGGATTTACCTCCTTCATTAAAATTTACAGCAGTGATGAATTATTTTACATTATCTTTCTTAAAGGGAGAGAAAAGCATATTCAGTACATATTCAGTTCTCTCCTACACATGCACAATTCCCCATGTTTTGTCTCCTTCAAAGTACAGAAATATACCTCATAAAGCGAAGCTAAAATTAAAAACAAAAGAAATAAGCACAAGGGACATAACTGACAGTCAGTAGAATGTGTCCCTTGTGCTGATGTCTCTATTTAGTTTAAATCCTCCTCCTCCCTCCATGCCCCCTCCCACCCCTGCCACCTTATTCTTTTGGTGCAGCAGGGGTTTATACAGCTAATGGGCTGTTACAAGCTCTCATAAAACCAGCCTGAGTATGCCCACCTTTTCCGCCCAGCTGCGCCATTCATAGAAGTCGTACTACAGCTTCTATGAATGACATAGAATCTCTGAATGGAGGGGATGGAGCGATCAATCATCTTTCCATCCTCCATTCAGAGATCCTCTTTTCTTACATCTGTACACTGAGATGGTATTTTCATATACAACAAAAAGGTCTTCTTTGAAATGGCAGACATGTTTGAGAACACTATCTAATTGTTTTTGTGAAACGCATTGTACAAATGTTTTGTATTAATATAAGTTGAACATATTTTGTAGCTTGCTGTGCTTGGTGCTTGTACATGTGCTACTGGAGGAGAACCCTGCTCATGTGCAAAGATGTCAGCTGCAACACGTAAACAGTTGCTTCAGCTCCGTCAGGATGTAAGTCTACATTTAGCCTATTACTGTGTATTTTTATACAGTTTGTGTGATTTTATTTAGAAGTATTTCTTGCCAGCCATGTATTTCTCAAAATAGGTACAATGCCTTATAAATGCACCTCCATATGTTAAGAACTCCATCTAAAAATAATCATTTTTGCCCAGCCTTTGGAGACCTCATGAGTTATTCTGAGCCTATGGAGAGATTTGTTTATTCGTTATTTTGAAACATACGTATAATATGACATTTTAGATATAAGTAAACTACATTATTACTTGTAAACGCAAACACCTGTATTTAGGAAGAGACCGTTAAACAGAACCTGCTGATCTTGCAATGAGTCCTAAATCCTTTAGGCTGTTTTCACACTTATCACTTTTTCTTCCAATGTTGTGTTAAAAAAAAAAAAAAGTCCTTGCCGCATTTTAGTGCAGGGTTGGTGCAGTTTTGGTGCAAAAAAGCACATCTCCCCCCCCCCCATTTAAATCAACGGAAAGGCAGCAAGCACATCTCCCCCCCCCCATTTAAATCAACGGAAAGGCAGCAAATGCATCTAAAATGCAGCCACGTTGCGTTTTTGGGTCACATGCGTTTTTTCTGCGGATCAGTGTAAAGTAGCCTTTATATAGGTGATTAATGAGGGTTAGTTGTGTAGACTACATAGAAGCAGCATAGTCGTTCCAGAAACTGTTTGCAGATGGTGATTGATAGCAATTCTAGCAACTCGATCTGTTACACACTTTAGACATTTGTGATTACACACTATTTGCACAGCTGATTATGGATTGTTACACCTTTTCATTCATCTACATGTTGTTAATTATATCACTGCCACTCCATGCCAGCAATATCATTTAGGTCAAAAAATGTGGGTAATGTAAAAGCTTATTATAAAATACATAATACATTTGTTGTATCTGAATTGAAAACTCTGGTTTTGCAGTATGAAATTGAGAAGAAGAGTAAAGAAGAAGCTTATGTAATGGCTGATGCATTTCGCATTGCGTTTGAGCAGCAGTTGAAGCGCAGGAATAATGAGAATCTACCTCTGAGTGACATAGAGAAGCTCTGTAAGAAGGGGAGTAAGAGAATAAACCGCTGGAGACATCTTAAAGAGAATGGTAATAGCAGTCTTGTACAGAATACTCAGTTTATCAACTATTTTATATATTATATGTGTAGCCTTTCTCCCACTGGGATAGAAGCAAAATGTGTGTATTGTTGACCTTAATCTCAATAAAATAAGTGCAGCGCTAAAACAAGGTAAAATATGTTAATAGATGCGTATATAAATAAATATAAAGTGCGAGATGATCATCACCATCATATAGAAATAAATATAAAGTGCAAGGTGATCATCATCACATAATGACAGTATTGGTGGTAAATTGTCCAACATATAAAACGTGAAGATCTCTTTAGATCACAACCAACATGTATGGAAAACTAATCCAGGGGTGACAGATGATGTGTTTGAATAAGCAAAAATGCGCACTCACCAGAAGTGCGCTTTAAACACGCATTTGAGATTAATCCTGTCTCATCAGGTATAATCAGGTCATCTGCTCCCAGGTCAGGCCAGGTTCCTATACACCTCTGGGTCCTTGAACAGGTGTCACAGCGTCTGGTCACATCTGTATTAGACTCTCTGGGTCTCTTGATAGGTATCACCGCGTGGTCACCTCTATGATAGGCTCTGTGAATGACGGCACTCACAGAGAGAGCCCAATAAAGGATTCCACATAGCGTGATACTGCATAAAGGGGTTACTTTATTCCACAAAATAGGTGTATAATAATAAAGAAAGGACACTGACCATAAGTATTTCAGGATGGCCACCAGAGGAGTGTCACCAAAGACTTGAATGGGAGGCGTTGAAAGGCTTCCACTACTCCTGACTGGACATGAGGCTTCAATTTTGAAACAACGTGACACTAACACTTCACATTTTGCTAATGGGAACAGTGCTGTGTGCTGCCCATAGTATCATTAGAGTGTCCATAGTATTAGAGGAGTGTTAAAAATGCCCCTCAAATGCCTGCTTTTAAAGCTAGTGTGAACTGAGCCTTACAGTGTCACAGTTTTATTAAATAGTTGTATTGAATATGTACAAAGAGAGATCACACAAATACTTATAAGTATAACATTTATTAAAAGTAATGACCGATACAGATAAATAAAAATATAACAATAATACCTAACTAAAGATGCTGTTTCTGCCACAGAGTCCCATCTGCGTATGCAGCGTGGCACCAGTGATTACAGACGCATGCATGATTGGAAGTTCTAAGTCTAAGACAAAACTAAATTTTTCTAGCGTAGCTGTTTGTTATATACAGGACTTGTATGTAGGGAATGTCCAGCCCCCCACTACAAACCACATGATGATCTTCTAAGAAAGATAGCACATTCCTGAAAGGAGGTTAGTGGTCTGGCTTGGCTTGTCCAAATAGTCAGTTTACAGTACTTTGTCCTTGTATAGCCCTTTATCCAAGGATTTGAGGCATTCCTAAACATTAGTGAGCCACAGTATTAATAAAGAAATACAGTTGTGCTCACAAGTTTACATACCCTGGCAGAAATTGTGAAATTTTGTCATTGATATTGAAAATATGACTGATCATGCCAAAAAATGCTCTTTTATTGAAGGATGATGATCATATGAAGCCATTTATTATCAAATAGTTGTTTGGCTCGTTTTTAAATCATAATGATAACAGAAATCGCCCAAATGGCCTGGATCAAAAGTTTACATACCCTGGAATATTTGACCTTGGTACAGAGACACAACTGTTAAAATGCCAATTAGAGGTTAATGTCCCACATCTGTTGCCTTTTAAATTGCAATTAGTGTCAGTGTATAAATAGTCAATGAGTTTGTTAGCTTTTACGTGGAAGCACTGACTAGGCTAGATACTGAGCCATGGGGATCAGAAAAGAACTGTCAAAAGTCTTGCATAACAAGGTAATGGAAATTTATGAAGATGGAAAAGGACATAAAAAGATGTTCAAAGCCTTAAATATGCCAATCCGTACTGTTAAATCACCTATTAAAAAGTGGAAAGTTTAGGGATCTCTTGATACCAGGCTAAAGTCAGGTATCTAGCCTTACAAACTCTATCACCAGCATGAGACTGCAGGCTTGGCTGGTTTAAATTAGGTTTGGTCTCCACCCAGAGACTGGGTACATCAATTACCTTGCAGGTGGGCTGGTGGACAGGGAGAATGCATCACAGCCAAAACCAGGGTGCTGGAATGAGACCAGCAGCTGTCATGGAACAGGATTGTTGCACGCTCCTAACAATAGGATCCACAATTGGAGGGCAACTCTGATGCTGATTCATGGTGGGGAGCACATGGATTCATAAGGTCCTTTGAGAAAGGTTGTTATGGACTACTATGATCAGGTCATCCATCATACACTTGGATGAAAAAGGCCATGTATGACCTATAGTGATACTTGGTGGCTTCTGAATATCTAACTGTATGCTTTCTTTTTTTGTTTTATTTTATTTTAGGGCACCTGCTGGAAAAAGATAAGGACATGAGCTTAGGCCAGAAATTAAAAAACATGCTGATCTCTTCTATTGACAGTGCAAATTTAGATGCAGCAGATGACCCACAAGAGGTCCTTACAGTGTTAGTAGACCTGGTAAGTGGGCATTAAAATGTATACCATTGTACATTGATTGTATATCATTCGGTAAAAGACATGTCAGTAATAAACTCAATGTAAGTACTTGGTTTAGTATAGGTTGGTTTACCAGACCCGATTTTAGTCATATCCCTTCACAATGTACTGTATGTAAAGTACTTGTGTTCTATAGAGCATTGTTTCTCAACCTTTTTTCAGTCAAGGCACCCTTTAAAATTATGGACAGTCTAGAGGCACCCCATTCTAAAATGTAAAAAACGTGTCTAGTAGTTTTATATAACGCAGCAGCATCCACAAATGTAGGACACCCAACATTAGAGGTAATTTATTCTTCGAAAGCATGTACACTTTTGCACACTGGTACTGACTAGTATTCCAATGTTTCTCTTCTCCCTCCCTTTATCTTCTCCATCACTGAGCTAATGTGGCCCCAGCACTGATGGAAAGGGGCAGGGGATTGTCAAACTAGGATTCTGTGCAGGCAGCTGACATCCTCAACTGATGTCATTGGTTGTCAGGATGCCGGTGGCTAGAAGGTCGTAACAGTGCACAATGAAAACCTGTAGCTTTGTGTAACTAAAAAAGGCAGGTTTGTTCCACCCGCTGGCTAGTGTACACGTTTTGGGCAAATTTAAGACATTTTGCCAAGGTACCCCTGAAGAAACCTCAAGGCACCCCTGGGTGCCTGGGCACTCTGGCTGAGAAAGGCTGCTACAGAGTATACACTGACTCAACATCAATAGGCAGCATTAAAAAGCATGCCAGGTTCTAGTTTAATCCGAAATCGCCAATCTGTCTTGTGGGCTCCCTTCAGCTCCCCAGGCTCTGTTGGGAGATAAAGCTCATATGTATTGTTACCTGCTGTTGTACGAATGCAATTGTTTCATGTGCATGCACTGCCTTCAACCTGTCAGTGTAAAACAGTGCAAAGAACAGTTAGGCACACATGTCCAGATATCTGCTGTGTGCTTATATTGTACAAACCCACACAGGATATAAAGTGACACAGCTGTCCCAGTGTGGTTTTGCACAATACTAACAATAGTCGTTTGGAGAAGTGAGCAATGTTTCTGTTAACATATAAAACTAGTGACAGAAACATACATATCAAGAGTGATCTCAGGAACTTAATATGTACAATCTGGAGGAAAGAAGGGAAAAGGGAGACATGATTGAATACTTTAAATACATCAAGGGGGTGAATAAGGTTTAGGAGGGCAGTAATTTCAGTATGACACCAAAATCAAGAACACGGGGACATGACCTTAAACTAACTGGAGGAAAGTTCGAAACTGATCTCAGAAAATATTATGTTACTGAAAGAGTAGTTGATGCTTGGAATAAACTTCCAGCAGAGGTAGTGAGTCAATCAACAGTAAATAGCTTCACACATGCTTGGGACAAGTAATAGATCTATACTCAGGTAAAAAGCTTAACAAAAAATAAAACAACCCCCCCCCCCCCAAAAAAAATGATGGACTTGATGGACCATTTGGTCTTTTTCCTGCCATCTCTTCTGTTTCTATGTAAACTAGCATTGGAATCTACAAGTTTGCACCAGCAGTGCTGCTTATTCATTGCTAGTATGACTTTCTTTTCCTTTACTACAACAGTATTGTAAAATGAACAATAACAGGATGAGGGTCCTTCAATGGTTGGAGGACTCGCCTGTGTTCCTGCATGTGTGCAGTCAGGAGTAGATGGAAGATTTAAAAGGGAAAGAGCCTACTATGTTGTATAGCTCATGTGAAACCAACTTCTACACGCTTTCCAGAATTTTAGTGAAAATCTATAAAAGCTCAAATCTAAATGGGCCAAGTGTTTTTTTTCTACCATTGTATTGTTTCTCTGCTTTAGCCTTAGTTCACACTGGTGCGACTTGAGGTGCAACATGCGATTTTACAAATCGCACCTGAAGTTGCATTCAATGTATTTCTATGGCACTGTCTTATTCAGTGAGATTTGAAGTAGTACAATTTCAAAGTTGCATTCAGTGTGAACCAGGGCTTAATCTGAGATCTGTATAGAATGGTTTATTTGATTTTTGTCTTACTATTGGCCTATTACTCTCTAGAAAAATAAACAATAAGCTTTCACTTTAAAAGTATGTGTCACTTTGATTGGTAAGCCACTATAGGCAGTCCCCAAGTTACAAACAAGATTGGTTCTGTAGGTTTTGTTATGTTAAAATTCATATGTAAGTTGGGACAGGTAAATGTTTTTAAGTGTAACTCCAGCCAAAAAAAATTATTTTTAAGTTTTGGATAGCATGGGGGAGGGTTAACTGGCCATACAGTGATATGGGATTGCTGACAGGTCCTCCAGATAGTAGGTGGCAGCATACCGTGAGCAGCAAGATGGCTTCCTGGCAGTTTGCAGGACCAGTGTGACGTCACGCTGCCTGCGGTCTTAAATATGTGTTGTATGTAAGTCTGATATTTGTAACTTGGGGATTGCTTGTATAACTCTAATGCAATTGGTACTTGCCAAAAAAAATAAGTGGCCCTATCAGAATTTTTAAAACCTGAAACTAGCAGCTTCCAACAAAGCAAATCGCTTATACATTCCTGTACCCTTGCACAGCAGAGGGAAACTTACTGAAATATCTACAATTGACAATATACATTTATTGATAGTTACATAATATATACAAATTACACGCTAAGCAGTATTTACAACACAATGTACACTTTGAGTCTCTTGACTTATATGATATTTACAAATTACCCACAAAACTATGTTTAATATACAATGTACAATACAAGTATGAAGTTAGTTTACCTCTCAACTTCAGGTTTAGTCATCATGCTTGCTGTGTGTGTCTCATCACAGAGACCCACAGATGGGTGACCGGGCCTTATATCCCCCCCCCCCTCCTGTCTGTACTGTGGCTAATATAATGCTCACTAATTGGACACTGTACCTAGCCAATGTGTATTGGGCAAGCCTGATTGGAAGTTCAAAGAAGGCGGCTGTTTACCACTCATGTGAGATATGCTAAGGGGACAACAAAAGGCCAGAACTTGTATAGTGGAAAACTCTATATATATTTACTCCAGTATGGAAGCTAGAAAGTTTGATGCTGCAAAACACTCAATGGTTTAAATAATGTATATTTCCATCTAACTAAAATATACTTGTAATTATAACATTATTTATATCCATTAATGAAGATTTCACATAAACTCAATATCTAACAATAGCAAGCTGCTTGCTATAAGGGCACTCATGCGGGCTTGCTCCAGAGCTGGCTCTGTGTGTCCATACACATGGCTGTGCCCCCCACTCCTTCCCCACTGGTGGTGGTTAACAGCAGTTGAAGCCAATGTCTCTCACTGCTGTCTCTGAGCCTATAAAGAAGAAGAGAGCCAAGAGAGCTGCTGCTTTTGTGCACAGCCTGCTGGCTCAGGTAAGTATATGGAGAAACTGGGGAAGGAGCTGCAATCAGGTTTTTTACCCTAATACAGAGAATGCAATAAGGTAAAAGAAAAACAAAAAAACCTATAACCACTTTAAGGATTGAGTTTTAAAGGAAAGTAGAGTAGAGAATATTTCTCATCATATTCTAGCATGAAAATTGTAGCAAATGAGCCAAACTTTGAACCTTATTTTTATTTTGATTTGGATTGCAGCTCAATGATAAAGAAGAGGCTTTAGCCCACCAAAGGAAGGTGAGCTACATGCTTGCTAGGACTATAGAAGACAAAGTGGAATCTTCAAGAAACCATAAGAAAAGTTCTCGGAAAGAGACTGCTGCTGTTGGTGACCATCACTGTTGCATTGACCTAAAGGAAAATGTTCCATGCTCAGGTGAAACAGATCCCACCACAGATGAAAGTCATAGCACGAAGCAAGATTTGCTTGGTTCCCTGGAAACCTCTTATTCTTTGCAGCTAAAGGATGTTTATCCTCAACAAAAATACAAAAATAGAACTTCCCCAGATCAAGAAGCACAACTAAAGGAAGAAGAGTCTCAAACATAATGTCTCTAAAATATGAATGTTGTTATAGTGATTGATATTAAGACTCATTCATGTTTCTTATAAATCTTTTAAACATTGCCAATAAGCCAAGGGACAGTCTACTTAAAACATACTGGGTAAACCTAGATGGTATTGCTTACCGCTTGACTTGTGAAAAGCCTCCAGTACCCATGTAGAAGTGCAACATTCCCTCCCCAAATCTAAATTACATCCTTGTCTAAAACTTATGCTAAATGGTGCTGTTACTCTGGGTACAGATTTACATAAAGTCAGGGCCCAGGGTAACCGCAAGAAAAGTAGACCAGTGCCCTAAGTGTGCGACGTTCCCAGCTGGATCATTGCTGTTGGGTATCCGGACCTGCCTAAGCCCTTAATGGGCAGTGTAAAAAAAAATGTTTTCAAGGATATTTTTAGCTTGTACCATAACCTCTGTTGTAATGTATTTTTTCTGTTTTTATCATCTTATTTTGTTGTACAGTCTTCACCATATTTTTGAAAGAAAACAATTAAGCTAAGGTAGTCTACATTTACATCAAAAGACTATGACATCAGTAAAGATGTAAATATTAATAATTTTAGGAAGTTCATTTTAATTTAAAATGCAGCAAACATAATGAAAACAGACACTGAGAAAGTAATTAAAAAGGTGGCACAGTGCAAAAAAATTGCACATTCCCAGAATAGTTTTTTTTGCAGTCCCCTGAAAACACAGCAGGCATCCAGGGTTCAGTACACTTTGCTTGAGCCTGCTGCACAGTTCACCAATAAAATGTCAATTCTCTGTACTAGTATGAAAGTACCCAGTCAAACTTCATTGCAGGTGCATTCACAGATTTTTGATCTCTGATGCCCGCTAAATTATTCATGATGCTTCCCAGACAGCAGTTTACTTATTAGCCAACCCTGCTGTGCTTCCATCAATATGGAACTTGGCATCTGCAGCCAAAGTAAGGGGCACTGTCTTGGTTGCAAAACTACCATTAAAGAATATGTAAACCCATCATTTTATATTCCTGCTACGTGTCTGCTGTACCATGTACTTGTATGAATAAGTATCCTGTTCTCTTTGTATTTCTTCCTATGTGTGAAATCCCTGGTGTTCCTACTATTCCCTCTGCTTTCCTATTAAAAACTGACCACACCAACCAGAAGTGCACACTGTGGTCACTTTTCTACCTGTGCTGGGAACTCAACCTGCTTTCTTGCAGTGATCAGACTTGTGCTAACAGCCGCCCCAATAAATATTCACTGGGAAGATCAGTGAGCTGCTGTTTCTCCTCCCTGAGCGCCTAATGCAGCTGAGAACAGAGGGAATGTGATCACTTATAAAATAGGTATTTATAATGTTTGTTATATCTATACACAACTGTTTTGTCTTGCATTGCTCTATTAAATTGAATGGGTTGTTTTAAAAGGTGAGAGTTTACAGTCACTTTAATATGCAGGTTTCCTTTACTGCAGAACTCTAAATCAGCGGTTTCCAACTTTTTTCTGTCACCGCAGCCTTAATGTGGGTCAAATCTTGAGGTACCTCAGTCTTGTACATGTACATGATATTTATGAATGTCAGAGTCCCGCACTACACCCTTCCTCCATCACACCAGATATCCTCCTTTACAACCGAGTCCCCCATCACTTTGGAAGTCCCCCCCCATACATAAAAGCCCTTCATCCCATTAGAGTTGCCCATCGAAAAATCTACTTTCCCCATCAGAGCCCTATCATACAGCTTCCACAACATGACAGTGGATAGGAGGTGGAGCAGGTCTGGGCAGAAGTGCATTTCTATCCTCTCCTGAATGATAGAAGTGGCCCTTCATGCCACCTTCCCTAAATAAGTGTCCTGTGTTGCGATGGTGCAGGTGGATCAGCCCCTGAGCACTATAGCAATGAATGACGCCTTGTTTCCTATCCTTAGAATGTCATTGGTTGTTATGACACCCAGGGCGCACCCAAACTAGGAAATGGTTAGGTTTTTTTTATTACTTCCAAAAACACGCTGCTCTGTAGAGACACTCGGAGCTGCCATTCATTCTTAATGGCACCTCCACACATCTCAGCCTGCAGCATGTTTGCAGGAACTGCAGGGAAATTGCGTGGTGCAAAAGCACCACGCAATTTCCCTGCGGCCGTGTTTTAAAAATGGCGCAAGCACCTTTTTTGTGTAAGACATAGGCACAGCAGTCAATTCAAATGAATGCGTGGCAATGCTTGAAAAAAACGTGGCCCACAAACACACACAAGTGTGAACCTAGTCTTAGGATCATTTGAATGGGCTGACGTGCCACGTGACATGCAGGAAAGAAGTCCCTGTCCTGCTTTGAAAATTGCAGCCTGTACGGGGACTGAGTTTCTTAATACGGGTGCAATTTCCAGTGCTAGCAGTGTGTCATTAAGATTAATGGCACTTGCCCATGGGTCCCGCTTTTCACTGGGTGGTTGTAGCTGCTGGAATTTGTGTGGGTCCCACAGTGAGACCACCTGTGCAGATGTGAACCTAGCCTAATTGATCTGATGGTCTGCAAATAATTTTTCTAATTTTATGTAATAATTCAAGTATATACACGTAAAGCTTTTTCATTAGGACATATTTGAGGTTTTTTTATTAATAACAACCAAAGGAGAATTTATTTATTTATTTTTTATATATACACACACACATAATAGGCTATTTCTTCCCCCTCCTCACACAGACTACAGCCCCACAGAATAAAGTGTTGAGCAGTTGAAGCACCCAACTGGATATGTGGAGAATGGACCCTGTTCTAACAATGCCCCTGTTTTTCATTTATGTATTGAGACAATCATGTCCATTCTTTTCACTGAATACATGGGTAAAGCCAGTATGAGACATTCCAAGGGGAAAGCAGAAAGTCTGGGCCTGTCCCTAATAATGAATAAGCATGAATTCTCTGTTTCCTACTCTTGTCACTTGGGGGCATCATTCACGGCAGCTGACTGTCAAAGATATGCTCAAAGCATGTACAGTGGGGCAAAAAAGTATTTAGTCAGCCACCAATTGTGCAAGCTCTCCCACTTAAAAAGATGAGAGAGGCCTGTAATTGGCATCATAGGTAGACCTCACCTATGAGAGACAAAATGATAAATAAAATCCAGACAATCACATTGGCTAATTTGCAAATTATGGTGGAAAATAAGTATTTAGTCAATATCAAAAGTTCATCTCAATACTTTGTTATATATGCTTTGTTGGCAATGACAGAGGTCAAATGTTTCCTGTAAGTCTTCACAAGGTCGGCACGCACTGTTGCTGGTATGTTGGCCCATTCCTCCATGCAGATCTCCTCTAGAGCAGTGATGTTTTGGAGCTGTCGCTGGGCACAACGGACTTTCAACTCCCTCTATGTGGTAGAGATCTGGAGACCGGCTAGGCCACTCCAGGACCTTGAAATGCTTCTTACAAAGCCACTCTTTTGTTGCCCGGGCGGTATGTTTGGGATCCTTGTCATGTTGGAAGACCCAGCCACGTTTCATCTACAATGCCCTTGCTGATGGAAGGAGGTTTGCACTCAAAATCTCACGATACATGGCCCCATTTATTCTGTCCTGTACATGGATCAGTCGTCCTGGTCCCTTTGTGGAGAAACAGCCCCAAAGCATGATGTTGCCACCCCCATGCTTCACAGTAGGTTTGGTGTTCTTTGGATGCAACTTCGCATTCTCTCAAAACAAACGAGTTGTGTTTCTACCAAAAAGTTCTATTTCGGTTTCATCTGACCATATGAAATTCTCCCAATCCTCTTCTGGATCATCCAAATGCTCTCTAGCAAACTTCGGACGGGTCTGGACATATACTGGCTTAAGCAAGGGGACACGTCTGGCACTGTGGGATCTGAGTCCTTGGCGGCGTAGTGTGTTACTGATGGTAGCCTTTGTTACGTTGGTCCCAGCTCTCTGCAGGTCATTCACTAGGTCCCCCGTGTGGTCCTGGGATTTTTGCTCAATCTTGCTTGTTTGTAGGTGACCAAATACTTATTTTTCACCATAATTTGCAAATAAATTCTTTCCAAATCAGCCAATGTAATTGTCTGTATTTTTTTTCTCATTTTGTCTCTCATAGTTGAGGTCTACCTATGATGCCAATTACAGGCCTCTCTCATCTTTTTAAGTGGGAGAACTTGCACAATTGGTGGCTGACTAAATACTTTTTTTGCCCCACTGTATATTTATCACAAGTACCAAACCAAATAGGCAAACTGTCCAAGATCACCTAAAGCTACATGCACATCTACATGGGTGGTTTGGCCTTTCAGACCAGTCTTTTCAGGCACCTGGGAGGCAAAGGGGCAGCAGCCTGTCAAAATCTATGACAAGCTGCAGTACCTGGCGTCTGCATGCTGTGCTGATTAGTACTCGTGTTTAATGCCATATGAGTTCAGACCCAGAACACAGCATTCCTGGGCTGTACACTGCACCTCTGTCTTCTGAGAGCCCCCTGGATTTGACACTGATGGGCCAAACCGCCTGTGTGCATAAGGCTTAATTCTTCATAAAATTATTCTATAAAACACCCAGCGCATTTAATACCTGATTTCCTACAGCATAAAATGTATAGGTGTGCTCTCTCGTTTAAAGCTGAAGTATATCCTTGATACAACCTCATATTTCTTTTACTCAAAATTTGTGGCATTATGGTTTGTATGCACTAAAATACATTTTTAGTAATTTCTGATATTAAACTATAGATTTGATAAACGCGCCATTTTTTTACTATTTAAAATTTTTGCTTACGTGTTTTAAAAATCATTTTAGGCCCAAATATTACTTAAAATCTCCAAAATATTACTTTTATGTTTTTGAAAGCAGACACCCTAGAGAATAAAATGTTGGTAGTTCTAATTTTTCATGTTACACAATATTAACGCAACACTAAAGCTAATTTCTGGGCACATAAATGCAATATATTACCTAATTTTTGTAGTGAAATATAAAAGATAAGGTTGTGCCGAATAAATAGATGAAGATTCTTTACAAGCCCC